TTGTTATAATAATCAAATGTAAAAAAATAATCATGATGACATAAACGGCATGTTAGATATTATTGTCATTATTGTCTTTGAAGTCGATTTTTCTAATCTTATCATAAAAAAACTGGTTTAAATCAATATCAGTGTTAACCATTCTAGAAAGACCTCATATTAATATTTATCCACATGTCTTGCAATTTTGCATTAAATCTGCAGCATCTTTTAGTTTCTGAACTGGAAAATGTTAATTTTTCTATTATAGATTTGACAAATTTGCCTAGTGTCAGTTTTTAACACATTTATAGAAGACAATAATTTTAAAGAAAATATTTAAATACCATGATTATAAAACTTTTGCAACTTCCTTTTCACATTAATGCAGATCTTGTTGTTTTTTTTTGTTTTTTTTTTTTTTTTTAATAAAATATATCATACATGAGCAGAAAACAGTTACAGAAGATTAAAGTGTCAAAAGTCATGCCTGGTTGTATTGGTGTTTTAATATAGTACCCCTGCTGATAAGAGAGCCCCTCAGGGTAAATAACAAAAGGCAGATGAATAAATATAAGTAGGCAATGTAAATTCTGTATTCTCTGGATGTTGGTGCAAATAAATTTCATATCAAGTAGTACAAAAAGAAAACTGAAATATTTTTGAATTTTATAAAAAACTATTTTCAGAATAATATAAATTATTTATATTAATCTTAGGTAAATCACAGTTTGAGAAGGTAAGAGAGATTATAAATGAGATAAAATTGACAAAATCTAGGCCAATTATAAACATATTAATTATGTCTCCCCCACCTCGGGGGGAGACATATTGTTTTTGCCCTGTCCGTCCGTCAGTCCGTCCGTCCGTCAGTCCGTCCGTCCATTCTTCGTTTCCGGACGATAACTAGAGTTCCTTTAGACCTACAGACCTCAAACTTCATAGGATGATTGGTCTTATTGAGCAGATGATCCCTATTGTTTTTGGGGTCAGTAGTTCAAAGGTCAAGGTCACAGTGACCGTTGGTCAATTTCTCGTTTCCGGATGATAACTAGAGTTCCTTTTGACCTACAGCCCTCAAACTTCATAGGATGATTGGTCTTATAGAGCAGATGATCCCTATTGTTTTTTGGGTCAGTAGGTCGAAGGTCAAGGTCACACTGACCGTTGGTCAATTTCTCGTTTCCGGATGATAACTAGAGTTCCTTTAGACCTACAGACCTCAAACTTTCATAGGATGATTGGTTCTTATTGAGCAGATGATCCCTATTGTTTTTTGGGGTCAGTAGTTTCAAAGGTCAAAGGTCACAGTGACCGTTGGTCAATTTCTCGTTTCCCCGGATGATAACTAGAGTTCCTTTTGACCTACAGCCCTCAAACTTCATAGGATGATTGGTCTTATAGAGCAGATGATCCCTATTGTTTTTGGGGTCAGTAGGTCAAAGGTCAAGGTCACAGTGACCGTTGGTCAATTTCTCATTTCCGGATGATAACTAGAGTTCCTTTTGACCTACAACCCTCAAATGGGGGGAGACATATTTTTTGCCCCTGTCCGTCCGTCAGTCCGTCCGTCCGTCAGTCCGTCCGTCCATTCTTCGTTCCGGACGATAACTAGAGTTCCTTTTGACCTACAGCTCTCAAACTTCATAGGATGAATGGTCTTATTGAGCAGATGATCCCTATTGTTTTTGGGGTCAGTAGTTCAAAGGTCAAGGTCACAGTGACCGTTGGTCAATTTCTCGTTTCCGGATGATAACTAGAGTTCCTTTTGACCTACAGCCCTCAAACTTCATAGGATGATTGGTCTTATAGAGCTGATGATCCCTATTGTTTTTGGGGTCAGTAGGTCAAAGGTCAAGGTCACACTGTTGTCTTTCAATAGTGTAAAAAATCTGACAATATGAACGTTTTTTTCAAGTATCATCAAAATCCTTCAAAGGGTTGAAGAGTTATGGAGCAGACACAATTTCCTTTAATTTCGTTTGTGAAACTATATATGATATGACATTCAAGTGCAATTTCGTTTGACGCCCGCCTGCCATACGCTGATTGAATAACCAGGATTTTCAAAATTGAATACCTGGTTAAAAACAAACAGTTTAGGAAGCATCTTCTCATACAACCTTAACAATAGAAACCATCCATAGACAGCCTTCATTGAAGTGACTACCGGGTATTTACATTATCTTATCTCCATTTCCATTCCTGTTTCCATTCACAGTTATTCTCAGCAGTGGGGGAGACATGCGCTTTTTTACAAAAGCATCCTCTAGTTCTTTAATGTATTAAAGGCTATTAATGCTTGAAATCATTACCTTTAACTAAAAAAACCATAAGTTTTAATCAAAAATAACTAATTTGTATAATTTGCCCCCCCCACAAAAAAACCCCAAAAAAACAACAACAACAAAACAACAAAAACAAAAAATGACTGAACTTTGTTTAATTAGCATTTCAATGTTTCATATTTCATTACCAGATTATAATAAAATAGAATCATATTAAATATCATTAATTTTGTTTATTTACGCACTTATCAACATTTAAGTAATAATTATTTATATTTACTTATTCTAACAATTAAGTTTTAAAGTACAAAATCAGTAAAATTAATGACTTTGAAAAATTATTGTTCTAATATTTTACGCCATATTTTACAAAATCCAATATTCTCAACTTCAAAGTTATTATGAAAAACAATTATACAGATATCTATATTTATCTATCTTTTTGTAAAAGTCAAATTGCTATTCATTGAAATAAAAGTTAACTGCTTAATACATATAATAGGTCTGGTGCACTACAAAGTGCACTTATGAAGTGCACTAGTAGTGCACTACTAGTGCACTTTGAAGTGCACTAGTAGTGCACCTCTAGTGCACTCCTAGTGCACTTTGTGTAACCTTTAGTGTGAACTCAACTGTATGGCTTTGAAACTTTGCACACTTGTTCACCATCATGACCCCAACCTGTAGACAGGAGGAGGTAACTGTATCAAGCATTTTGACAGAATTATGCCCCTTTTTCGACTTAGAATTTACGTTAAAGTTTTTGTAATAGTTCAAATATTTTCAAAGTCCATTGACATATGGCTTTGAAACTTTGCACACTTGTTCACCATCATGACCCCAACCTGTAAACAGGAGGAGGTAACTGTATCAAGCATTTTTTTTACTATCAAGCACTAAGAATAGTCGAGCGTTGCTGTCCTACTGACAGCTCTTGTTTTAATGGCAATTTTATATTAATCAAATCATGAAGGACTGCAGTTTACCAATATGATTCTCCCGATTTTATTTCAATGTGTGGTCTTTAACTTGAGATATAACTTCAATTTGATAGCAAGTGCCACTATTTTGTTAATAAAATGAATGTTAAATCAATTTATTACACCTATCCCTGTAATTTTCACTGGCAGTAAAGTGGTGAGAGACATCTACATAGAGGTGCATTATATTGTACTGTCTTTCACTGCTCATAATATACGCCCCCTTCTTTTAAATATTACAATACAAGCTTTGTTTGTAAGTGCTAAGTCAATGTATGAGAGATTTTTTATGATTTACAGATTTTCATTATGAGTTTTCTGTGTCAATACTATGTACATATACTGATGTTTGTAAATTCTCACAAATTACTATTTTATGTCACAATTAATCACAATAAATAAGAATTAGCAACATTTTTATACAGGTTTGCCAAGAATATATCAATCTAAATTGACACCATTGTATTACGATATTTTGATATATTAAAGTTCGAGGTCAGCCGGGCCGACCTTGTTGAATATATCAGAAAATAAATATTTACTCTAGCAGTATGAATGGCACATTAATAAGCGTAAGTTGTCAAGATTTATGCAAGATTTTCAACTTCTGTGGACATAGTACAGGTTTCATAAGACTGATTCAAATAATGAGAAAGGAATATCTCGACACATTGGCACGTGTAATTTGCTTATTTAGCAACAAATGATATAGAGCAAGATATATAGATACATTTTTGTTGTATACCTGCTAATTATCATTATAAAGTTGACGTGACACGGACATATTCCGGACACAAACATTCCGTTATTGATTACAAGCAATTTTCATATTTTTATCAACTATATTCAATGTTTACTAGAGAATGATACCTTTCATAAATGCAAATGAGTTTAGATATATAATATATATTAGGAAATTTGAAATCTTGATCAGTTATTATCGTTTGGTTGTGAAATAGGTATAGACAAAATTAATGGAAAGTTTGAATGGCGCAATGTCAATTTGTATAAGGCTTTTCATATGTACTTCAACAAATCATTAGATATATCTCAGTTGTAACTGTTATTGAAATATCTTGTCAAATTATGTAAACAAGTCTGAAAAAGAAAAAAAATGAGGCATTTGTTAAAGAGGCAAAACCATGTAAAAGAAATAAATTAGTTTTACTTTTTTTAATTTGCATGAATTTTTTTTTTAGGCGATATAATGAAAATTTCAGAAAAATGAATTATATTGTAAGGCAAACTGGTATCCTCCTGTTTAATTTATTTTTAAACTTATTGGCATGGGAATCATCATAGATCCAGGGTTCAAATCCAAGTGTAGGCACAGCAGTTGTTTCTTCTTACAACTCAATTAATGGTTAGTTAAAGAAGCTACAAGTGTTCTTCACAATCAAGCTAAAATAAATATTGTTTAAGCTAAAATAAGTTTGATTTTATTTCGGAGATGTTCATGGGTCTTAAATTTAATTGTATGATGCACTGGCATGCAGTAATATGGTGAGGGTAATATAAACGCAGATGTTTAAAGAAATAAAGTTCCAGTGTCGTCCTATACAGGTTCTAGCTGGATGTGATGAAAACTTGACATGTTTTATTTCATTGCTGCAACATCTGTGCAATTAGAAAAATTGCCTTTGAAATAGTGTAAGATTTAGGCTGCAGGTGTATGCATGTGAATGCATGTGAATTAAGGTAAATTAATGTGAATTGATGGGTTTTTATGGTGATGATTACTTCTTATTTTCAGTTTTGAAGTACAGTAATGGTACAGGTGTAATAAATGATGATAGAACAAGAATGAAGAGGCCGGGAACCTACCTGGCTGCTGGTACCATGTTTACGTACAATAAATACGCCGGGGACAAATGTCCTGGGGAGTGCTTGTATGCACCGGGGCCTCTCACATCTGATATGGATATACAGGTATGCAAATATATTGCAGCAGTTGCCAATGAATAATTTTCTTATATGTCTAATTTAAAAGCTGACTTGAAAGTGATTAATATTGTTGAAAACTAGTTGTGGGTATAATAAATTTAGTGTCTACTTTAATAAATAATGTTAAAGGTACTTCATTCTTTGACAGAACAGGACAGGAAATGATATTTTTCAAGATATGTCTGTATAGTACCATTTGATTTAGTTTTAAACCATGAAACTTATGTTCAAAATTACAGGCCATTAATTTTGCTCTCTCCTTTTTCCAAAGTACATGTAATCATTTTATTGTGCCAAAAAGTGAAAAATGTTTTAAAATTTTTCACTCAAAACAGACTAAGAATTGCATAAAAATGGATTTTGTATTATATTCTGACTGTATTTTTGGATATCTTTTTGCATATTTTTCTGTTAGATCTAGTGTTAGAATTTCAAAATATTGTTTGTAGGCTTCAGTGGAGTTTTCTTAAAACTAAATAAACTGGAAACTAGTCCAATCTTGTGTCATATCTTTAAAGTGCAACACTACTGAATTTATGTATTTTAGACCTGTTCTGATTTTATCATTGTTAGTTCTTGATATTTGAAAATCAAACAATAAAAAAGAGTTATTATCAGTGAATTGTTTGATCATACTTCTACGGAGTGCAGGCTGTCTAAATAATAATAATAATGGACCTTTGTACTCGTGCTACCAGCTAAGCTTATTATTTGCCTGCAAAGCATGCAACTCCAAATGTATAAACTGCTACAGTCATGGAACTTTCTAATAATACTGTATAAGTGGTTAAGTTACCAACACGGAAATATTGCAGAATTTCGTGAAGTTCAATAAAAATTTTCTCTACTGTAAATATCATCCAACCTCTCATTAATTTCTACCCTTGCACGATTCACTAATATTTCCTTACACGAAATGTTTGGAATTTTAAATTTGCAAACTTTTCAACACACGGAAATATCCACTTATACAGTAGTTGCCAACATGAGAGTTTACCCACATTGAAAATTTCTCACAAGTTCATTGGTAAATAGCAGAGTTGTTGTCCTTGATTTAGCTACAATGAGCATAATATTATATGGATTTGAGTATAACTTCATAGGTACAATGTATATTAGCTGTGTTTATAAACACCAGAAATTTGAAGGACTTTCTTTTGTGATTAGTGAAGACTAAGTGAGAATGAAATTAGCTCCAAAATTCACAGACAGTGCAAGTTTATTATTCAAATTGACTGAAGAAATGGAAGTCCAGTCATTCTTATTCTTTAAATTTATACTGAGGATTCAAAAAAAGAGTCTTTTTATAGTGTAGAAATCTCCATAAAATTCTATATCATTATAACTGTTAATAAATCATTTTGTGTCAGATAGTATAAACATTTCTACTGAAAGTGTGTAAAGAAAGTTTCTTGAACAATTCATTTGCCAAACTTTTTTCTAATTTTATATCTGGCTCTTTCTTCATGTCTGACAAGTTATGCCAAATAGTCACTTCACAGTCCATAAACATTGATGGTTTTTATAAATGGTTGTTTTTTTTTTCTTTCCCTGATTTCACCATTCTGAACTGAAGTCGAGGTGAAAAAAATTCTGACATGAAAACAATTTATTTTATTTTTTTGCCATTGTTTATTAAAGAACAATGATCTTGATGATTTACGACACAAATATTTCATTCTCGGCTTTCAATCTAACTAAATACAGATAAACGGTTTCTTGTGTTTTTTTGCATTTTCGTAAAATTCTTAGAATGCCTAAAATGCATTGTTTTTAGTTTGTCTTTCAACGATTTTTTTTCCTGCTTAAAATTATTGTACAGTAATAAATTGCTTTATATCGTTTACCAAGCCTTCATTTGAATTTTTTGTTCTTGTATTTTTGTTGAATGTGCAGTAAAAGTTTTAATGAGATTTTCACGAAGGAATGGTGTTTACTTTGTACGTATAAATCTTGTACTCACACAATGTTATGAATAAAGTGCGGGCATTATCTCGCCACTTATCGTGAGTGTTATTTTATTAGATCGAGTATTAAACTCCGATGTTTGTCGCGTAAATTGCATCATCTTCAATATGTAAGAGCACTTTGATACACATTTTCCTATCCGGTACTTGGGGACTAAACAATATTTTTTTATTATTTATATTCATTTTCAATGCTTTATAGGGAAAAGAGAGTTATGCACTAGATTGGCCGCATTTGAATTTATCGGGAATGGGAAGAGCTGTAAAATTTAAAAACCAGGGAGTGGTGGCCTGGTGATGAAAATGCTTCGTTTAATCATATCAGTATTTTATTTAAGCCCTCATAGGGACATAAGTATGATTTTTGTTTGCCTGTACTTCGGTCCTTTCAGAGAGAAACAATAATTAAAACATGCTCACATCTGTCACTGTGACCCATCTTAAATAAGTTAATACTACTATTAAAGTTTAACAAAATAACAAAGTGTTGTTCAGAGGCATAAAGAATATAAAAGTAATTGTATAACTCTTGAGGAAAAGAGATCATTCAATTTGCATGTTTTATGAAAATCCTATATTGAGTGTGTTTTATTAATGAAAACATAATACAGCGAATGACAATCCACGTGCCATGGCCGCTGTCTTACCACAGTGTCTTAACTGGTATCATTATTGTCAACATACACATTAAACAGTGTCCTTATCTCAATATAATATTTGTTAGTCACAAAACTTATCTCACACTTAAAGTCCTTCAGTCAACAGTATACCATGTTGTTGAGAAATGATAACTGTTTATCTAAAATAAGATATTTGTGTGTTACCTCAGATATAGACACTCAATTCACAAGAGGATCATTCTAAGTCTATCTGAACTACAAACTCTTTGATGTTCTCTTTCATTTCTTTACATTGTTTTTCTTTGGGGTAATTTGAGTCCCTTTGCTGTACTCAACAGTTTGAAAAGTTGATTCTTTGTTTGACACCTGTAAGTGATTTGATACAGGCTCTAAAATTGGATGTGGAGTTTTATTTTATGCCAAAAAGGAAATGTTTGTGTCTGGTTTCCTTGTCAAAAATAATGAGGTCAGTAGGTTAGTAGAAAAAAAAATACATTGCTTATAGCCAAATAGTCAAAATATATTGACATGCCAAAGATAGATTCTGAGATATTTTTGTTCTGGGTCAGAATCTCGCTTCTATGTAGAGGGGAGATATAACCCATACACAAAATTGCACAATATCTCATTGTGTAGTACAATTAGTTGGACTTATGGCCAAAGAAGAACAGAAACTAATAAATGTATACCATATACCAAGCGATATTTGCCTATGCAAATGGTAAATAATTATGTCGCCTTGAAAAAGGCGACATATAGGAGTTACTTTTGTCAGCGTCCTTGTCTGCGGCGGCAGCATTGCCCTAAGGCTTGTCCGAAGCATAACTCAGCCACTTTAAGACAGATTAACTCCAAACTTGGTATGCATGCTCAAAGTGCAGTGCACAAGAATCGTTACTTCTGAATTTTTGAGTTATTGCCATTTGTTAATTTTCATACTTTATTTTTGTCTGGGCCATTTCTCCTAAACTATAAAAGCTATGGACTTGAAACTGCATAGGATGATAGATCTTATTAAGAAGAAGTGAAGTGCACAAAAACTGGTACTCTACAATGTTATTTTTGAGTTATTGCCCTTTGTTTTTCATATTTCATTCTTGTCCGGGCCATTTCTCCTAAACTATAAAAGCTATCAACATGAAACTTCATAGGATGATAGATCTCATTGAGAAGAAGTGCAGTGCCTAAAAACCGGTACTGTGTACTTCATAATTTTAGAGTTATTGTCCTTTGTTAATTCTTATACTTTATTTTTGTCCAGGCCAATTCTCCTACACAATAAAAGCTTTTCAAGATACATCAATCCTGCGGTAACATTGTTACAATCAGTTCAAATGCCACTAAAGTTCAAGGTACATGTACATTGTAAGAGTTGTGTTTATTAATGAACTATATTTAAGAAAAACGCCTAAGTGACAGCTATACTGTTCACAAGGAGACACATCTGATTCACGGAGTTCTAGTTATTTTTGCATTGTAGCTCTTCTACTTTTCCTGTTATCATTGTTATGCATGAAGAAATTTTTTTGTGCGGCAATATTTTGATGGAAATATGCGATAACATATTGTCACAAATTTTGCAAGCATATTGGGCAAGTACAAAGTTACATTGGAATATATGCCTGAAACATTAATTTGTCCTTGGGAAATGTACACAATTTTGGGGCTTTTTTTCATTCAAGTTGAATTAGAAATTTTACAATTAGACATCTGAGATACGATTTCTTTCTTTCCGTTCCAATCATATTTTTTGTTTTGTTTTTCAGTTGTTGACATATAGAAGAAATCCAGGAATTAAATATATGTTCACAATTCCAAAAGACAAAATAGACAGTGTAATGCAATCGTTGGCACCTTCAGGAAATACAGCTACAAGACATCAAGGTCGTAACCAGGGAGAGTCTCAAGCTTCCAGTACCAGTTCTATAAATAGTAACAACAGAAATGGAAATCAAGGGAGACGAATAAGTTATGACCAGAAACCACAGTTTGTCTCCCCTGATACTGTTGGGTCTCCATACAAGAGCTACCAAGCTTTAGAAAGTGGTCCTCATGGCACCCAAGAAGCTATAAATAGATACAGGCAAAGTTATGGCGGTGATGTAAATAACAGAAATAATTTACCTGACAGAACCAATAATGTAGCAGCATTTAGTAATAGAAATAATCTACCTCTAAGTAATAGACAAACTGAAACAAGGTACCAGACCAATAGTATTCCAGATACCGGGTACCAGGGTTCAGTGTATTCAAGGGGATCCAGCAACCAGATTTATGATAGAACAAATTCTAGGACGGGAACTGCATACCAACAAAACTATGGAAATAGAATAGAAAATAGAAGACCGGAGTTGATAGTGCCAAACACGATAGATGAGGTGAATTTTCATTGGACGATTTCTGGATTTACAGAATGTTCCACTTCCTGTGGGGGAGGTAAGTTCAGTAGATAACAAATCAGTATCATCAAACCAGTCTAACAAAATTAACTGTAGGAATATTGTAAAACTTGGCTTTAGCCATCAGTTGGCCAATGAAAATATGATTAACTTATCTTTGATTGTTAAATGGCAAGTTTTCTATATAACGGTCCCTTTGCCATGCTTGTGTAAAGACTGTGTTCTACTTTGATTTTAGAATTAGCCATTGGTAGTTTCATAGATATTAAAAGTAAAACTATATTAGGAAAACTACAACAGTAAAGAATCTATACATTTTATAAAATGGTTAATCAATGTCATCATTTTGAGGTCATTAATTTATGACAGAAAATATCTATATTGATTACTGTGAAAATCATGAAGTAACAGCAGTTTAACATATATGATGAAAATACAATGTATATTTCACTTAGGAAAATAGCATTTATTGGTAACTTGCATCATTCTTTACTTTTGGATAATTACATGTTGTATGTCACTTGTGAAATGCTGAGCTCATTAATTTTGGTGAAAATTATTTTTATATTGCACTGAAATGAAAATTTCCTTTGTAGGTAATTTTTTTGCTTGATACAATTATTAGAAGTTGAATTGGGCTTGACCCTTTTTTAATATTTTAGAAATTGTGGGAGTGCATTGGGACTTTAGTGAAAAAAGTTATATTGATTTTTAAGATTTTTATCTTGACCTCATTATTTACTTGTATTTTCCCAATTTAAAAAACTGAAATTTGATGGTCCATTGTTCATTGAATTCTAATTAAATGTGAAGGAGAGACGCTTGAAATAGAAATATTTTCTTCAAATATTTACTTAATATTTCTATTATTGACTCGCTAAAAAAAAATATTAAAACGAAAATTCAAGTATAAGAATTTTTTTTAATCGTAAATTCATTTTATTCAAATTGAACCTATCTTTTTTTCAGCAAAATAAACTTTTTTTTACACTACTTTAACTTACTGTAGTGATAGGTAAATAATTGGTACAGTTGTATATTATGATATTAGGCCACGTTGAAAAACTTTTTTTGGGGTGAAGAGAAATTATCATATTAAAATTGGTTAAAGTTTCTCTTTAAAATAGAAGTAAATTGAAATATTTATAGCTTATAGGATAGGTTGACAAAATGAAGAAAATTGATGCCAAACAACTCTATGTCAAAAAGCCGTAGTTTAAATTAAGGGACTCCACTGAGGTTTTTTAACATAAAGGGGCTGGGAATATTTATTCCAGATTTGAGTACCATTTGATGAACGAATAGACCAATAACTTATGTGCAAAGTTTCAGATCATTTGCTCACTTCATTTTTCCTGATTAATAATTATGTCCCAAAAATAAAAAGCATTACAAAGCTTTTACAGAAACCTACAAGAACTAAAATTCTCAATTATACATGTATCTCTTAATTTTTTTTCCAAAACTCTTGGCTTGCCTTAAGGCTAACACCACACTTGGTTGGTCTTAAAGGTTGACCTCACCCTTGGCTGGTCTTTAAGGAAAGTCATTCTTGCTACCAGAGTGCAAAATGCAGCTAAATATCCTAATATTAAGGATGTTTAACTTAGATAAACAGAAAACTTTTATTTTCAAATAAAACAAAAAAAAACTTGAAAAGAAATCTTAACATTTCATGATAGGCAAAAAGTGTTTCCTGTCTGAATTTCAACAACCATTTTAACAATGTAGATTGGATAATTTTAGATCTTTTCTTGTATTTAATTGTAAAGAATAAACTTGAATAAATATCCTTCAGCCATCTTCCCCTAGTATTTATTAGTACTAGTTTTTCTCATATTTACTCAGGTGTTTGGTAATTCTGGGAGAGTAAAGGTGATCCTCCCGTCTTGCTGTATTTTTGTTATATTTTTAACAATGTAATATTGAAATGTTCATGTAATTAATTCAAGCATACGCTTCTTTAAAAAGTGAAAGACATGATAGTAATTTGAGAATAAAATAAATTAGAATTTTCAATAGCTGTCAGGCATTTTTGTAAAAATAAATAAGTTAAACATTAGTACTAGATCAAATTTCTTTAATGTTTGTTTTGAAAACACTAAATGTCTTCTCCAGTCATTCAGTTAAACAAGTTACTATATGTCATCAAGTCAATAAGTGCTTCCTTCAGTTTTTTTGGTAATTAAAGGCCCCTTTGTGATGGTATAATGAATTGCAAGTGGTTGTCAGTAGACTAGTTGGTTGGTTGGCAGCGTAGGGTAGGGTAGAGAAGGGTAGGGTGCATGGGATGTGTGGAGTTGGGTGGGCGGGTTCACAGTTGGGCAGGGCAGGGTAGGTAGACCATTTTATTTCCTGTCAATGATGAAAAGAAAACATGTGACTTAAAAACTTCGAACTTCAAAGGATGATTGCTCTTATTGAGTATATTTCCCCAAAAATGATTTTTTTTTATTTTGAAGGTTAAAGGTCAAGGTCAAAGGTTTTTGTTTCAGGTCAGTCTGTATCATTTGGTTTGAAGTAGGTATTTGTTTGTTTTGGTTCATATTTCAAGTAGGTTGATGAAGGTTTTTTTGTCACTAGGTGTTGTGTCAAGTTGTTTAGTGTTGTCTCAAGTTGTTTCAGGTATTGTATAAAGTGGCTCAATGTCATGACTTACACCGCTGCACACTGAGATGGTTAATGTGCTGACATGGGGAACATATTTAACATTTTGTTAACATGTGAACTGAGCTATTAACTGTGCGGGAGGTCCATGAAATTGGACCAATAATTGTCATCCACATCCAATTTGTCAACTAACATTTACTGATATAGTGTTGGTTGTTTACAGCAACTGCTGTCACATTCAGTGTCAAACACTTACAATAGATGATGGGGGTCATGTGACCTAGAATGTCTCACAGTTAATATCTAGTTACTAAGTTTTATGAATGGGAAACTTTTTTCCCCCTTGTGTCTTATTTTCATCTTTGGGTTGATTGTCAGGACATATCAAGATGAGCCCAGTGTGCTGTGTTGACTTAATGTCACCTGACTTTGGTTAAGTTTATTTATGTTCTATTATGGTCACTCCAACTTTGATATTAATGTCATTAGATAGGATATCATATTTAAATGATATCTCTTGGTTTAAATCTAGTGTTTAAAGCAAAGATTAAAACATTGAATCACTATTTATTATCATTATTATTCTATTAATTTTGATATTGAAATGATTTAAAATTTAAATGAAATCTCCTAACTGCTTACTTAAAAGCAAAGCAACATTTTATACAATGTACATGATGAATTTATTGTTAATTTGCTACAGAGTTTCAGCATCTGTCTGATTGCCTCAATCTTGTTGATGTTATATTAATATCCTCAACTTAATTTTGTTTTAATGTGTAATTACATGATAAAAATCTGTTTGTTGTTACATGATAGTATTAATGTAGCAACAGTATAATTATTTAAATTATAGAAAAACCTGCAAAATGATGATTGTTATATCACAAGAGTGTAATTAATTTTACATTTATAAAAAGAAGTTTCTGTCGTTACTGATGCAAAAATGTAAATAGTTAGTATCAACATAAAAAATGCACATTGTTACATTGCATTTGTTTGCTTTTCACGTTTTTTTTTGTTTTTTTTTAAGCAAAAAGAATTTTGTTTAAACATTGCATATCTCCCCCTAGAGTATGAGATGCTTATGGCTGAAGTTTTATGATGGGTTGATACCTGTAGTCTGTCAACCCTCATTATCATTTTGTCAGTTTGTGACTCATTGTTTCTTTGAACACTGTCACACTGAGTAGATAATGATAGATTGATCCTGCATGAAATAAATAAAACAATGTTCTCATGCAAAAGTATGCCCTCGCTATTATCTAAATAAATAGTTTTTCACATTGCCTAAAGGTTTTCTACATAAGTTATATCACCTCAGTTTAATAAAGCATAATACTGGGTCCAGGTCTAAGATATTTGGTTTATACCAGTAACTAGTGGGCGTCATAATATAGTCGTATATGTCCTTGATCCTCAGGGAACATTTTTATATCTCTCTTGATCGAGTGATTATTGTCCTGTAGTCATTACCATCCAGCATAATGTACAGTAAGATGATGCAGTTAAAAAATTGCCCTTTTCTTCCTGTACTTCACTTCACTTTGTTATATTTTTACGGTCCTTTGGGATCATCAAGTCCAGCATTTTAGTGTTGAAGATTGATTACCTTAAGCCCTTGCTAGGGGGCAAGAGGGATGTTGCACTTTTACATTATCTATCGTAAACAGGCTCAGTCAAACCAAGTCGTCAATTTTCATCAAATTTTGTTGTTTGAATACTGTTTGCTAATCAATTTTAATGTTTTTATTATAACTTCATAAAAGTTGATGACGGACAATTTCATAATGTTTGTTAGAGAAGTCCACTCAGCAAATTCAGCATGTTTTTTTGTTTTTGAAGCTTGACATATTTTTGTATTTACAGGAACACAAGATACCATTGTTGTATGTATGAAGAGAAAGTTGAATATAATTGTTACAGATGAGAACTGTGATCCTAATAAGAAGAAAGTTCAAACTATCAGCTGTAACAGATCACCATGTCCACCAGAGTAATTATCTCTTTTATATGTGAATAATCACATTGATTTACAATTAACATAATTAACCTTAAAACTATGAAATTGTAGAATTTTTGTTAGGCCTCTGTGAAGGATTGGTTTAATGTTGCTGGCATCAGATTACTTGCACCATACCACCTTACTGTTGTGGGTTAGAATTCCATTGGTTCTATTCCATTGATGATTCCAGTATGGAGCTGGAATGTTGCCATATGATTTTAACAATGTTGCTGTGTCTATAAACTAAAGATAAAGGAAGACTTTATTATTATTTGAATGCCAGTGGCAAAAGTAACTTGCCTGTGCTACTAGTAAAATGTAAGGCCACTCTATCTGAACAGACTGTCTAACTCTAAATAGTGTTTTGAAATATAAATTTTAAGTCACTTTCAATAAAGTACTCTACTGTTTGGAGTCTTTTTCTAATTAGTTGTATATAATAGCAATTTTCACAGCAATAAGTGTTAACTTAAGATTATTTGCTAAAACAAGGCTTGTCCAATAAAGATATGCTAAAGCTTAACTACGTCCTTATTTTCTTCTTTGTGTTTTTGTCTAATTATGTGACTAATATTTTTTTTGTGTTATTTCAGTTGGGATGCAGGACCATGGTCTGTGTGCAGTAAAACATGTGGTCAGGGTGTACAAACACGTAAAGTAGAATGTCAGCAGAGATATAGCCAGAATTACTCTGTGCCAACATCAGCTGGACAGTGTAACCTCGTAGCTAAACCAGATACATCTAGAGGGTGTGAGGTGAGGCCATGTGCTGACTGGAGAGCTACTAACTGGACACAGGTCAGTGTTGTTTGTGTTGATTGATTGTTCTAGAATATAGATGACCCATAATTTTGGGATCAGTGGGTCAAAGGTCAAGGCTACTCAGAAGTCTTGCGGAACAAAGATCTAGAGAATGATTTGGCCTACAGTCTTTAGATTTGGTGGCTGGTCATAACTGGAAGATGAACCCTGTTGATTTTTGGGACGTAATTACAGTCATGTAATTGGTTTTCATTAGGGAGGCATACATGTTTCACAAATATATCTTGTTACATAAAGTGTTAATATTTGTATGGCCTGCAAGGAATAGAAAGAAAAGGCTATTTTTCTGAATGCTTCATTTTGTGACCATAATTATGCACTGACGTCATTCTTGGTCATCAGACTACAAAAATTCAATGATCTCCCAATGAAGTCAACATTTTTGGTAACACAGATTTATTATACAGGCTGTCCAGCGTCCCTAAAATTCCTAAAAAATCCTAATTTTTTTCAGTTTGGCTAAAATTCCTAAAAAAATGAAAAATTCAAAGGGAATTCCTAAAAATGCCCTATTTTTTCACTGAAATTCCTATTTTTTTTTATCTTTTGTTATAACATATCCCGAAACAACTATTTTTCAATCACAATCTAAATTTGAAGACAGTCGGTGGTGCTGATTTCATGTCTGACTAAATTGCATAAAGTGACATGTTGTATTAACTTCAACTGCAATACTTGATTAATTGCCAGATGTTATCAGAAAAACAATTAGAAACTTGTTTTTAATGGAACAATGAAAATTGTCCAACATTGACCATATCAAAATAGTCAATTGTTTAAAATAGAGATAAAAAAAATTCCAAGCAAGTTAAATTTTTCATTGGCTACAGAGTTTTACCATTTACCTCAGTCTTTGGTGTATTTAAAGCAACTATTTATATGATGCACCACTAAATTTCATTAAACTTTATGTAGGGGTCCTTTTTAATAAAATCTTCATTTGTAATCAAGTTATTTTCAAGTGATGACTGTAGAATAGATCTTTTGTAAGTGATACCAGCTGGCAGATCTAGACAAGTGTTCATATTTGGTAATATTATGAAGTGGGTAAGGTAAGCTGGCTGTAATGATTGGATGCTTTTACCATTTTGCACCCCAATGAGCATACTATGAAAGCCATCAGCTGCCCTTTTTGTACACATTAACATTAGTCATACCAATGCAATGTACTACTGTACAATTATGTTATAATATTTAGTGTAAATTTTTTAAAATCTCATTATCTGGGGGAAAAAATGGAAAAAATCGTTAAATAGACTGACACTGTTGTGAAATTTTCTACAATTTTAGGTGCCCTGATTTATCTTGAACAAATTCTTAAGTGGTGAATACCCTGCTGTATGAATTTAGGTATTAATATATTCCTGGGAATGACCTGAGAAGGTCATTCCATTTTTATTGTTTTTTAAGAAAGATCAAGACTTGTTGAAAATGTACCAACCTTAAAATGAATAAATGTTGATAAATGCATTTATAGCTAAAATAAATTTAAAGCATACTTTTCCCCTTCCATTTACAATTGACCAATAGCAGCTTAACTTATTGAATATTGGTTGTTCTAGGATACTTGTAACTTTGAAAATGTTTTCATTCTACTTACGTTTTAATGTAGTTTTTTAACTTGTATTCAGAGAAGGCAGTAAAAGGCAGTTGACCAGTGAATCCATTTATTCACGGGTGACTATGGAACACTGGTACACACCTTTGCTATAACTGAACTAGAGCATTATTTGTGAGTTACTTTTGTGTTAAAAATGCAAAGTTGAGCCCATATCATGGTCTTTTAGGGCCATAATTTAGTTATAAAATTCCTAATTTTAGCCCTAAAATTTCTTAAAAATTGCCCTAAAATTTGCCCTATTTTTTTGTCAGAAGGTGCTGGACAGCCTGATTTATACAGCCATCTTATGTATCTGTGCAAGTCTTGTTGAAGTGAAACATTACTGGTGAATGCTTGAGGAAATTTTTAGACCTACAAGTTGAACACTGCTTCCTGTGTGATTGACATAGGATTTATTTCCTATGGAAAACCAAATTAAAATTTGCAAAAGTCATAATGGAATCAGACTGTTTGATATATCATAAGTATTATGCTATTTCAGTGTTCTGTGGAGTGTGGTATAGGACAAGTATCACGTGATGTAGACTGTGTCAATACAGAGGGAGAAGTGGTTCCAGACAGAGAATGTTCAGGCTTGGAACCAGTCAGTACAAAGTCATGTGACATGGGAACCTGTGCCAAGGGCTGGTTTCAGACATCCTGGTCTAAAGAGGTAAATGGTTTGTTGTGAAATTAAAGGAAAGAAGATGAATACTTTATGCCATACACTGTTCTTTCATTCCTTTCCTACATTCAGTGGTTTGTACAACTTTTATAACAGTGAAACAAAGTTTTTTACTGTCAATCCATTTTAAAAATGTTCAATGAGTATTTTTTGGCCAGGTTGCAGAGGTGCAAACCCGGGTTATAAAATGGTGAATGTAGGGCAGCGGGCAGATGGGCAGGCGGGCGGAGAAAATATTTTCGTAACAGTTTTCTCAGCAACTACTTTTCACAGCCTTTTGATATTTGGTATACAGCATCAACACATGGTCCCATAATGTTGGATTCGATTTCAGGTCTGTCACTCATCCACTTCCTGTTTACCGACTTAGTTAAATTTTCAACATTAATGGTGAATGGTAGGAAATGCTCGTAACAGTTTTCTCAGCAACTGCTTATCATAGCCTCTTAATATTTGGTATACAGCATCAACATGTGGTCCCATACTGTGGGATTCATGATATTTGGTATACAAATGCAACCGGGCCTTTTCTGTCTTTGACCCATTTTTTTATAGTCATATGACAATTATACTAATGCTGTAATTGGCTTGAAAAATGAGACATTAGTCATAGTATATGATTTATCAGACATGAGTAAAAGTTTCCTGAGCTCCTCTTTTGTACTATTGAACAGGTTTGTAAGGATATTGCTGTACAGAGCATGATGGTCCCATCTTAATCTTAATTTAAGAGTTTTTTTTGTGTTAATATCCTGTTAAATCTGTTATTATCATGTTAATTGCAAGATATAAAAAGAATTGTCAATTATACCACCCCACAGACTTGAAAGTTTTATAATTTTAGTTGAATCTGTCAGCATTGTATAAATTGCTTGATAATTACTTCATCACATCCACAATGCCTACATGAATTTTGCTTTTTTTCAGTGTTCATCAGAATGTGGGAGGGGCTACCACACAAGAAATGTGTATTGTTCAGCAGAAGATGGCAGTCCTCTTCCAGAACATAAATGTGGTCAGAAACCCAAGACCAGAAAATCCTGTAAGAAGAAGCGACCATGTGGAGGGTTCTGGTTTGAAGGACCTTGGTCAAAGGTGTGTTAGATATGTCCAAACTCTGTGATTTAGGTTATCTGAGGGTCAAGCAATATCATTATCAATTTATTACAAGAAGATTAATAAAATTGAAAACAATCTAGAATACTTGTGCATGTACTACATGTTGTTATTTACCCTTAACCTACCGAATTGGTGAAATGTATTTGTCCTGTTTTGAATAAAGAACATTCCAGTTAAAGTTTACAGATATTGAGCTATAGGGCTTGGTCATTCTGAATGGAAGTAGAAATAGTATCAAATATATAATGACAAATTAATACTTGTACAGAATTTAGGAACACTTGTTTTGAAATTGCCCACTGTAATATATGATGAAAATAATGTTCAACAGGAATAATTGTATTTGTGTATAACACAGATGTATATTTCATTATTGGTTTTCCTATCATATTGTTATGCTTGTTTTTTGTTTATTACCTGTAAGTGAGTATGTCAGCCTGCTTGGCTCAATAATGAGAGCATTTGATTAATATCCAGGGGACACTCAGGTGTGATCCTCCAGCCAGGCGTAACAATTGAGCCGCGTCATGACAAAACCAACATAATGGATTTGCGACCAACATGGATCCAGACCAGCCTGCGCATCCGCGCAGTCTGATCAGGATCCATGCTGTTCGCTTACAAACCCTATAACAAGTAGAGAAACTGATAGCGAACAGCATGGATCCTGATCAGACTGCGCGGATGGTCTGAATCCATGCTGGACGCAAACTCATCATGTTGGTTTTGTCGTGACGTGGCTCAATTAATCTTGGACATTGAGTCCAATGGTCATTTGTCTTTCTCCACTCTTTCAGGTATCATGTTGGATTAGTTGTCAGTTACTTGTGGAGAAGTTTGTAATAACTGGTTAGTTATCCAGGAAAGCTGATTAGATTGATCAATTGCCAAGATATGACAAAAAAATATGTTAAAAATCAGACAAAACAGATAAATGAATTAAGATTTGAAGGGCTATAAAACTATAAATAATTGTTTGAAATATCATTACATGTATTTTAGTGTACAGCAACTTGTGGTTCATCAGTACAGACAAGGGATGTTGTATGTATGAAGAAACTAGAGAGGAACATGATTGCTGTGGTTGGGGCAGAGAATTGTAAGGAACATCCAAAACCTGAAACACAGAAACCTTGCCCTACATTGCCAGACTGCCCAGCCATGTGGTTCATGACCAAATGGTCACAGGTATAAATTTGTATCATTACATAAATGTTAATATCTACCTGCGATTTACAATGAACGCAACCTCTTAAAAATGTGGCTGAGTATATACTCATCTGCTCAGTGGTCTAAAGCATTTTAACTTCTTGTTTGTGGATGGGAGGTAATAAGTTTGAATACCAATAGCTGTAAAAATATTTTTTCACTTCGTAAAAAATTTGAAATGTTCACAAGAATTACATAAGGATTATGTATTGTTATTTCTCTTTTGTTGTTTTTCATTTTTGAAAGAAAGATGGTTAGAAAAATGTGATAAACATTACAGTTTGATGTAAAACAGTTATTTTTTGCATTTCGAAAAGGATTATTAGTTTTTGACTTGTTGTCTAACATAGAGGGCAATTTAGACTTACTATTTGTTGAATTGTAGTATTTGTTTTTTGGAGAAAGTGGTATCATATAAAATTAAGCATTTAATGAAAAGCATTGGTCAATCTGGGGGAAGTAAAAATGTAAAAAAAATAATTTATACTTTTTGTGTTATAAAATACTGGTATGTTCCCAAATCAAACCCTTATCGTTAATTATAAAACATATATAGAAAATGTTAATGTGAATAATTTTGCAGTGTTCAAAGAGTTGTGGTGTTGGTATAAAGACAAGAGATGTAAAATGTTTGGACACTGGTATGACACCTAGCGCAGAGTGCCGTAAACAGAACAAACCGTCATTACGACGGACGTGTAACACGCAAGACTGTGATCTTCCACAGCTGGATGAAGGTACAGCAGAATTTATACATATGTTGATTAATCTCAATGTGTATTAAAACTCGGCCCTTATGTAATCTGTATTTTATGATATATAATCAGATAGATGGGCTTATTTTATGGTATTGACATACTTTAGTGTTCCTGGAAATTGTTTGATGGAGCATAAAGAAGTGTTTGTCTTTGAAATCTTACTAATTACTAACTTCTTTTATGTGGCTATGAGAACAATTTGGGATAACAAAACAGTAGCCTCTTAGCATTTGATAGGATGTCTGACCTTACCAGTCTCTTGTTATTTCATTTCTTTTATTTGCTGTTTTTGTGGCATGTACTTTCACTGATAATCGTAGATAATTTGTCTTTTTTGATTTTCCAAAGACCTCTAACATTTAATGGCATATTTTGATAGGGCCAAGGTCAAAGTCATTAAACTTGAAAATAGAATTAAAAATCACTAGTAGATTGAACCCTAGTAAAAAATTATTCTTTCAATATTTTAGAATAAAAAATGGATCTGTTTAGCTACATATGACATTTGTTGTTGAGAAAAATCATTACAATTTGGGCAAATAAAATCAATTTTGGGACTTCAGGACCAACCACTTTGTGGTGCCACACAACATTAGTGCCTTTAGTACTTTGATCATGGTTGCTTTTCATTTTACACAGTCTATACATGTATTTATCAGCTTAAAACAGCATATGGTGCATTTGTTTACTTCAGAATCCAGACATTGTTTAAAAAATTTGAATTACAAGGTTGCACTAATGTTGTATGAAAGGAAAATGTGGAGAGACATGTGTGTCAGTTAATATTTCTCATTTAACTATGCGAAACATTGTCGTTGTTTTTTGTTGTTGCTTTCAAAAATATACTGGATTACAACAATAACATTGCAGACAAGTATGCAAGTTGAATACTGTTGAAATTTCAGAAATTGTTATGTTTCATGTACTTGATTATTACTGGTTGACATGGCATAAGCTACTGTTTGATAAAGTTTATTTTGGCAGGAATTTTCCTATTTTCTCAGCTGTTAGTGGAGAGGAAGTTTACAGCATATTGTTAACATTACTGTGATACTGTACAAGTGAATCTGGATAGGTGTCACATACCTAAATGTTTTAGAGGGAACAAAATCTTGAACGTGACATTAACCTTTTTACATTCCGCAGTGATTCTGAGCTGTTGGGTTTTAAACCTATGTTAATTTTCTTAAACATCCGCTTCTACCTGTTGCCAAGCAACCAGGGTGCTCATACCTATGTTTCCATGTTTCATAGATCGACACGCCAGATAAAAGTTTCCTCTGATTTCTTTATAAGGTAATAAATGATGTCCGGTATTGCTTTAATTATTTGCAAAATGCAACAGGTAAAGAGAAGATAATGTCAGGTAAAGAAAAGTTAATTGTTGAATCTTAAAAGTACTCTCAGGTATTTTATTGGTTTTTGTTTTGAAAGAACAGGCCTTATCTTATTATAGAAACAAAAGTATTTACAGAATCTTTTGCAGCCTAATAATTTAAGTTTTAATTTTCAACATCAGTTTTAATTAAAACCAATGTTAAGCTCTCATTACCAGTATAGTTTAACAGAACTTCAAGGTTAAAGTATAGTTTGCAACATTTACTTTACAACTAGTGAAGGAACTTTAACATTTGTGTCAAGATTATAAATGTGTGTAAATCAATTAGCAATACATTGGCTATTCCTTCAGTATCCTTGCTCATAGTTTACTGTACATGAGGCCCGGCACTCTGTTCTTCAGAAAGGTTTTTGTTTTAGAGGCCTTTTATCTGACATCAACAATGAAGGTCTGTTTAGATTTATTTCAAATTAGTCATCTAGCATCCTTTGCATACTTTTGATTGTAAGCTAAAATTTATTCAAGTTGCCCCTTTTAGGGCCATCACAGATAAAATATATAATGAAAAACATCTTCAAACCAAACTTGTTTAGTTTCTATTAAGTTAGCTCAATTACATTTTATCAGCTTTCCAAGAAATAGGAAAACTACATCATATTGGTCCACAACATTATTTTGTTTTAGGTGAAAGCTGAGTGCTATCGTGGTTCTCTTGTTAAATTAAATTTTTAATTGTTATGCAGGAATTGGTCTATTGGTTTGATTAATTTTTACATTATTTTTTTTAAATGACTAAAGCAAGTGAGGTGTAGTCAAAATACTATAATTTAGCAACCTGCATGATTGCATCAGTCTGTTCTGATTAATATTCTAGGTGTGCTACAGCTCTTAGGTCTTAAGTCTTGACCTGTCACACTTGCCTTTAAAGTGGATTGGTCTACAATGGGTACATTTTCCAGGAGTGTTTCAAAAAATGATAAAAACAATAGAAATGTATTATCTAGTTATTCTAATGAAATATTGCATGAAAATATTGACTGATATAGTATGAACATTTATCTGATGAATAAAAATAATTTGTTCTAGAACATTTTATTATCTGCTATGTAAAATATACAAAATGTATATAATATCAGATCATGTAAGTCACACTTGCCAACAACATTCATATACAATATATAATTCTTTCAAGGTTTGTTGTGATATCTAATACTAGATACTATCAACATAATTATCTATTGTATTACAAAACTTTCATTATCAACCAATTCACTTTAAAACTCTTATATTTGTACAGAAGTGTAGTTTTGAGTAAGAAAATATTTTTGGGGGATTGTGTCATTATATAACTTCATGGGAAATTGTAAAATGTGTAAAAGTAATCATGGTTAGTAATTCATTCCTGATTTGTTGCAGGATTGTTTTGCCACTCAGAACAGGTTTATTTATGTACTTCTGCAAAAAATATCCACGCAAAACCTTGAATGGAAACATGAAAATGTATTTTAAAACAGGATATAATGAAGCTGTCAGAATGTAAAAAATGTGACTGATACAATGTTAAAAAAAGGTGGAAAATGTGATCTATAAAACCTTTGATGTAGGAAAAATTGATTTTAAGAATGTTGCTTGGTTTTTTATGTGTTCCGTTGTAGTTTTATATATTAAATGAATGTTCCATGTGTTCACATTTCTGTACATTATAGATTTGATAGCATACCTTTGTGTGTTATACAAGTTCAAATGAACTTCTGAATTTGTAATGGGTTGATTTTCATGATATGTTTAGATATGGTTTTTAGAGTTTTTTGGGAGGGAGGGAATTTTGGAGGAAGTGAATGGATTGCTTTATCAAGCATAATTGCCAACAACTTACTTACAAAGTCTTGCAAAATTTTAGAATTTAGAAGTCAACCATTTGAAAGACACAATAAATACTTCTCTTCAATCATGATTAATCTTTTTAGAAATAAAAAAAAAGGAACATTTTGATTTGTTGATTGTGTGAACTATGTTTTGAAATTTTAAAGATTTCCATAACCAGATTGGTCTTAAAAATCCTAATTGTGACCTTCAGGTCCTAAAATTACAGCTTTCCTGAAAGAAATTTAGTTATCAAAATCATCTCAAGATTTTAAGAGATGTTTTAAAGAGATGTTATGAGAAGTTGTTGATTTTTATTCAAATTTTATATACCGGTACCATTTTCTTCTTGATGTTAATTTGCAGATCCAGGATGTAAAGATAACTGGTCCCAGTGTCATATGGTAGTTCAAGCCAGACTGTGTCCCTATAAATACTACAAAGAACAGTGCTGTGTAGCATGTAAATTACACCATCTAAAACACCAGAAACAAAAAGAGGAACAGGAAGCTGAGAAACAACAACAACAGGAAGTTGGAAAAGAACAACAACAACAACAACAACAGGAAACAGAAGGGGCATAGCAGACGGACGTTTTAGTATATTTATGAAAACATGTTGAATTTATGTAGCAAGCTTAAGAAATTATATAATACTTAGATGTAGCCAAGTTTGTCATGACTAAATAGTTACAAGAAACGTTAATTCAGAAAGGCTTCTGAAGCATATTGATTTATAATGAAATGTACGTAGCTTGAATTGACAGATGAGTGGATCTTGGCATGAAGGCATATCTGGTGAACTGTGTTGAGAACAAGATCTAGAGCGGAACATTATAAAGAAATGGCAAAGAAATATACAAACATTCAATATTCTGTTTGTTGTGAAGTGAACATTTAAATGCTGGGATGATATTCAAAATATGAGGTTTGTTATGACTCCAGTGTACCAAATAGATTTTAAATGATGTTTTGAAAGTGTGATTAATACTAAAAACATCAAACATTTGGTTAAGTGTTTGTAGAAATATATATATATAGCAATAGGAAATGAGGAAAGGGACAGTTATATTTTTTAGGATCTAGCTTATTTCTGGTTCAATTTGTGACAGGACAAAGGTGAAGAATAAGAGTAGAATTCCATAACTGTGTTCAGAAGATAGTAACAAATTCTGAATGTCTTTGTGATATTTTGTTCTATAAGATGATGTACATGTGAGTCTTTCAACACCACCTGTTTGTAATTGTGTGAATTATGGACCATTTACCTATTGAAAGATATTTAGTATCATTTAATGTCACTTAAATGCTAAAAACTTAATCAGTGTACAAAATATGCATAGTTTTTGCCAAAATGTTATGAATGTGTAAATTATGAAAAGAATATTGCTACTTGAGCTATGATAGACATTCCTGTAGATAATATGTGTAGGGCAAATATATGTGTTAAAGGGCAACTGTGTGTAAATGGCAGAAATTCCTTTGAAAAGAAGGGGCTATATGTGTTGTATAGTTATGGTGAAAGTTAAAGAAATTATCCTCACAATAATTGCTGCAAAATGTTGACTTTTGTTTAAAAAGTATACATGTAAAGTAGAAATTATGCATTTTGTTCTTCTACCCCTGTCCCTGACAGTATTTTTTGATTACTTTTCTATGTAGAAAAGTTCTAAAGTTAACACTCAGTAAGATCAACAGAAAAAACGTTAACAGAAAATATTAAATAAAAACTCATGAAAAAATATCGAGTTTGGTGATTAATTTGCTTTGACTACAGAAGTGAAACATTTCCATAAATTTTCTTTACTACTTTCTTGTTTATATGTTCTTTTTACACAGAATGGATTTCAAAATGATCACCACAAAAATTGATTATTATCTCCCTTTAGTATCATTTGATAAACCCTTATTTTCAGAAAGTTTGTCAGTAGATAATATTTAACTTTGACACAGGAAGATCTTAGTTTCTTTCCATGATTGTTTTAATAAAGTAAACATAGTTTAAATTTGGTTTCTATGAAACAGAATAAATTGTGTACATGTTCGGTATGTAAATTTGAATTACTTGTTTATTTTGTGAGGATATTCTTAAAGTGTCATATACAGTAAACCCCGCTTATAACGAACTTGTTGGGACATTTAAAATCTGTTTCTTATATCCGGAGTTCCTTGTAAGCATATAGCAAATTAGTTCCTTATATGGGGAGTTTTGATAGCGAACAGATTTGCATATAACGAACTGATTGTTTACCATCGTCCTCCATTTTTAAGAGTATTTAATTTTGAAGTAATAAACAAGATTTCGATTTTCCCTTCCTTTTATATTGAATATTTTCTCTTACACATATATTTTATCATTTTTATAATATTTTACTTCTGAAAGTTATAGATTTTTTTCCTTTTCAATCAAGCGTACTTTGTACTTTTCAATGGATTTTACTCAAGAAATAGCATGCGTAATTATGTTGAAAACGGACTCTAAATGATCATAATTATTTTCCTCAAGTAAAACTATTACACAAAAGAAATAATGGAATAAAATGAATAATCGTTTTATCTTGGTGACAAAAACTTATACTAAAATATCCTAGATAGAAAACTACGACGTACTGTAAATTTATACAAATTCATTTGCATAGCTGTATTGAAGTACATATAATAATAAACGTACTAGTTGTAATCAGCGCCGATGAAAACAAAAGTAGAAAATTTGGCGATATTTTGGAGTTCATTATAAAAGTGAAATTTTCTGTACATTTTACTTAATTGGGACTAAAAAGTGAGTTCCTTATAAGCGATAGTTCCTTATAACCATGTTCGCTATAACCATATATTTTTACATTAAATAAAGAAGGGCAAAATTCGGGCCAAAATAAATTGTTCCTTATAACCGGAACTTCGCTATAACCGTGTCCGCTATAAGTGAAGTTTACTGTACATTGGTAATAATCTGTTTTTAAACAACTGCTCAACTCAAAATTTATATACCATGGATAAATGGTTTCCAGGGTTTTCCTGCAATGATGTCTTAACCAGTGATCATAACCCCTTAATTGCTGAGTTTGTATATTAATGGACTTGTCCACAAAATGTATTTGGAACCATTCATTGTTAAATTTAGGGGATTCAGTAATGAAAATATTAAAGTGATACTGCCAGTGGTCACATTGCATGGATAGTACAGGCTGGATTGTCTCCTTACAGTTGGCATACAATCATTTATATAAGTCACTAACATTCAAAAACTTCAATGCAGCCCATTATTTAAACTTTTTAAAAGGTAACAACATACCACTTGATATACTTGCTTGATATATCTTGACAAGGTGCAGTTGTAAGACAAGGGGCATAATTCTTAAAATTATAGCTTACGAGTAATGCTCCTTTTAGCTTTTTTTGTCAAAATGGTAATTTTAACAGACGAGCATTTGCACTGCATGCGGAGCTCATGTAATCTCATTTAGTAATTGCAGAAATAATAAATGACAGGTCTTAGCCATCTACATAGAAACATAACATCATTTGATATAGGTGCATTTTTTACACTTTGTATAATTTGCTGCTCTGTTTATTTCAGTTACCTGGAAATCCTTGAAATAACAATGGACTGTTTTAATTATTTTATAAGATTTATATATTATGTCAGGTATTATAAATAAGAGACAAAAATGACTGAATAAGTACATATTTCAAATTTTGTATTATAAATACAAAATTTTTGCTTCAAGTTTTTGTTTAAAGCTGACATTTATTTATAGTTGACAAATCGATTTTCAACACTATGACTTGAAGTAAAGAAGGTGAAAACAGTGAAAGTACTTTTTTAGGGTAGTGTAACATGTTAATTATTTTGTTAGTTATTGTGTAATTAATTATGCTTATATGTATAAAAGCATTGTAAAGCTGATTATTATATTATGTTATCATGTATCTATATGTTTGTCTGAATTATTACCTTAAACATACACTGTTGGTCAACCTAACTTACCATTCACCATTTTCAGGGGAAACTGGTGGTCAAGTAATACTTGATAGACTGAAATAATTGCTTGAATAAGTTTTTTTCTAAATTGTCCTGTCATATCATGTTTAAATCAGCACCAGTTGCTTCCCATTTCAACATTAAGGAGTGGCTTGCTGTTTTTGTCTTTCCAGGTAATTTAAGTTGAATTAGCTGTACAGCACAGTTGTCAGAATTCTCTACTGATATTGCATCAAGTTTAATTAACATGATGTGCTTTTTCTCTTATAGGCATTCCTGGTGACACGTCTAGGGCCCTTAGTGTCTGTACTAAGTATGTTGAAAGGTTTCATGGTCTGTGATTAAACAGGAATAAAGAAGCAGATATATTTTATATTTTAGCTGTGGCCTTTCATTTTGGTTGGGTTTAACATCACACCAACACAGTAGAGGTCATATGGCAACTTTCAAGTTTTACCGGTTGAGAAAGACCTCCTGTACCCCTTTTTGTGCATGATTTCAGGCATGAAAGCAAACCTAAATAGAACCACTGACATTCAGTAAGCTGGCTGGATAACTTCCTCCGATAAAAGTATTCAAAATCCTTTGCTAGATTCTAATAGGCACAAATGCCCCACCTGTCTTTTTTCCAAATATTACCAATAATTAAGGTAGTTTACATTCTATTTCCATCTATTGCTACATTAATTTTTGCTCTCATGGGTTTTAAGTTACACTGACATTACAGAGGTCATATAGCAACATTCCAGCCTAACTGGCTAAAGAAGACCTTATTAGCTTGATTAAAATAAAAGCTTGTAGCTTGTTTGAACAACTCATAGACACCACTTCCTTGAACTTACCGGTACTTGTGATATACGAGGATATAATGGTTGTGACCAGATTAGGGATCTGACCCATGACACCTGGGTTAGGAGACAGACAAGTTAACTGCTAGGCCACTGCTTCCTTTTAATTTAATTAATTATAAACTGAGACATGGCAGGAGTTTTAAAACTGTCAACAACAAAAAATTAATACTTGAATTCGGAGAGGAAAATTGTTGATGACATCCAAAGGGCAGAAGAAATAAACCAAAAAGATGAGTTTTATTTTTTTTAAAGACATTTAGTTTGAAATATTTTGTATTAATTTGACAAAAGAATTAGAAATACAGAAATAGAGGAAAAGTCAGAGGTTACTAGTTGTATACATTATTATGTAGGGAGATAATTCAGACAAATTTATGGATACAGTATACCTGAGTTGCCAGTATTTTTGCTTTATTATTTTGTATGGTTACAGCTCTAATATTTTATACATATTACAGTAAACATTTTCATTTCATCACTTAAGGTCCTTCACCTATGTAACTTCAAATTTTCCAAAGTCACTTCTCTTAAAATCTTTAGTGCATGAAATATGTAACAACCAAAGACTAAGCTCAAAAGTGAGTTATTGTATTTTTATGTTTTTACCTTTTTGCTTCTTTGTTTCTAAAGAACAAATATTCTTTTGAAACTTTGATTTAATAGTTTAGTAATTTTCCATAAAAATCTCTGTAGATATGTAAAAGTCTTCAAAATAGAACTACGTTGTACTCTTCTTTCATTTTTCTAATTAATTTGTTAATTCTTCAAAGGTTCTTTATAAAATGAAAATAATAAATTTCCTAATGCACAAGTGAATTGCTAAAGACCAAAGAATATAAATCACAGTTTGGGAGAATATTGACACTTTGAACATTAGGTGAAACATTTTTTTGTCATTCATTGTAAAATTACCAGTAGTTTATTATTCAAAATTCATCAGTGTATTAAATAACACATTTCATGTCATGTTTTATTTAACTAATTTAAATGTTTTAATGTCACGTATAGAGTAAATTACTGTTCATATAACAGTAATTTGAAAAATAAAAAATATATATAAATCCAATTTTTGTTTTTATGATTTTACAATAAGACCAAACTAAAATGATGGTAAGATCTGAAGCAAAATGTTGGATTCCAATTTTATCTGGACTTTTCAAAGCATGGTGGAACTATCTATTCACCAAAGCATCCAAGTCTATTTTAAGCTAGGCTACTTGAAGGATAGTGCAACTATCTTACTCACCCAGACGTCGGTATCTGCATAACACTGGCAACTACTCGTAAAACATATGTCATCCAGTACTGAAGAGGTTTGCTTGTAAATTACTTTGATATCATATCGACAGGTTATTGTCCAAGTGCCTTAACTTGAGCATAGATTTTAATTGAATAATGGCCCTTTTGTGAACTGGTAAAAGTTTCTAATTCCCAATTACGGTAGGTAATCACTTCACAATGTCCAAGACCTTTAGGGACTTTGACTAGACATATTAAAACCCTTTGTGAATTTAAACTGGTTTAAATTCGTTTCTTCAAAACTACTGAAAGTAACATAAAGTGTGGCAAATGTCTTTGGATCATAATTACAGGTCAATTTCTAAGTCACATAACTATGTCTTGTATTTTGAATATTAAATCTTTGCCATATGTAAATTCCAACATAAACTAGACTCTTTTCTTGATCAAGCTATGAGAATAGTAGGGCAGACTGTCCTACTGACAGCTCTTGTTTGGTCCTATTACTTGAAAAAAAAATGCAAATTGTCTGCATTCTTGTTAATAAACCAATTACATGTAAATATGTTGGTACATGAATCTCGTTCACAATTTAAATGTGGTCAATCTCTTGTATTTTAGTGAAGTTTCATGGACACTTTAAAGTATGATGGCAATTTGGCTTGCTTTTGCATGTGATGGAAATACTTGATGTATTATTAAGTATCTGTGAAGATCTATAGACCTCAAGCAAGCTTGCTTTCCCACTTTTGATATTTCTAAATGAAAGATATTATATGATACACCTCCTGGTAGGGCATGGAAAGATTTCTCTTTTAAATGTATACGCTTGGGGACAAGAACTTGCCTATGCCACTGATATAAAGACTGGCAAGCCTGAACATAGCTCTACTAAAAGTTGCTAACTATCATTACACAGTTTTTCAGTATTTAATACCACATATGAACATTGGCAAATTCTGCAAAGGTAAAGCAATGATTCCTTGTTTCAATGTCATTATCCAGACGAGTCTTCCCTGAATTGAGAAAAAAACAAGCCGGCACACCACTCATCTGCTAGGATAAAGTTACAACAACACTATAAAGTTCATATGATGATTTCCATGATCATTGGAGGTTTAAATCAATTGTGCCTCTGTATATTATTTCTGTCACAGGTACCCCTGAGTTGAACAGTCGACCTACAGTAAGCTAACTAGATAGCTTCCATGGCTTCTTCTCGGGTAAAGCTGATTTTTGATAGACAAAGTAAAACATATAAACAAAAAACATATTCTTTTTCTTATTCAGTTTAATATTTTCAAATAAAAGCATAACATATCATAAATAATATTCTATTTTTAGATAAAAAAAAAATGTTACATATATTCATTTAACCATCACAAATAAACAAAATTTAACATAAATTAAAATGTCCACTTTTTTACATGATCATAAACCCCACTATGTTAATATATGTCTGACATATTCAACACATACCAACTATAAATAAACCCTAGTATTTACACATTAAGTAAAAAAATATGCACCAAAACATTATGTGATAAAGTTCATCCATGAAAATCCCATTTTTCACAATATTGTACATCTGCAACAAGTTCTTACAGGTTGTATACTTCTGTACAAATGTCATAATCAAGAATCATGATCCTGATATCAGAAGTGATGTGCTCAGAGAGACTTCACCACTTTAGCCACTGTACACAGTCTCAACTCTTGTTACTCTATGACTTGTGTGCAATGTTAGAAAACCAGTTAGATATGTCGGACATACTGCCTATACGATCGTAGAATGACGAGCTCGTGTTCATCTTCTGTTGAACGTTATGTGGTAATACAGCTGCAGCGGTCTCTGCTAGACTCGGACCACTTGTTTCACCACCCTGTAATTATAACACATGTTTTATTTTTCTTGTTGTCATGGCAACAAACTGTAAATCAATTCAGATGTGCCTTTCAATTACTAACGTCAACATAAACTAATGTAGTTACAAATATATGAAAATAGGTTTTTCACCTTCTTTTTTTTCTTCATTTTTATCTTATTTGCTTATGTTAAATACATGTAAATGAAATTTAGGAATATATAAAACTGTAGCTTGTATTGCTGGTGAAGTAATACTTCTTTCAAATTAAATCAATGAGGATCTTTTTATTCAATTTTGAATATTCAAAACAAGAGAAGATTGATTGCCATAAAATTATCATGATTACCAGAGCAATAAATAATATGTATCTCATAATACTAGTATATGTAAATTGGTGAAAAATATTTTTTATCAATGTGTTTTTCGGTATCATAAATTTAAATTGGCTTATAAAAACTACCTCTGAAGGATAAATAAAACTTCTTGCATGTCAAACAGGATTGTTCATTAATCAATGATTTCTTACAAGAACCTAACATATTACACCCTCTATGCAAGTTCGAGTATTTAATGATGTGATTTTGCTTCTATAACAAAATAGTGCTCAATAAGGAATGTGTCTTAATTGTCTTAATTTTCAAAACATGTACAGGCAAGTAAGAAATCCAGCCATATCTCCTGGATAGACAAATGTTAAAAGATAACTCTTGAGTTGCACTACCCCTATATACAAAGTAAGTAAGAGGTCAGTAATATCTTTAATGCTCAATATCACAGACTTGATCCACATGCAATCTTTCACACTCTTAAATTTTGCTAATAGTTTCATAAAGGTCCAGCAAACATCACAATTATGATATCTGCTTACCCTGTAAAGTGTCTGACTAATCACAGGTTGTGGTACTCCCATCCTTGACTGTTGTACACTTAGTGGTAGCAATGAGAATCGGCTGTGACATGTAGACAACATGAGTACATTATGTTGTTCCTGCTGGGAGCTGGGAGCCGGCCGGGTTGTAAGTCCATACAGTCCTGACTTGTCCAAACTTGTCAGTCCACCTAGTAGCACCTACAACACATTGATGGCCACAAAAATTGATGATTAAATGATCTAAAATTGTTAAATATAAATAAAAACTGTTCACATAACTCTTTTATTTTTTATGTATATGAAAAATCCATGTCCAATTAGTGTGCACTTTTGTTTATGTACTACTCAACAGATAACAGAGATCCTGCTTTTACACACAAACAATGTTACCTTCATTAATAAGATCTGTTACAATGCTTAATTTATTTTACAAACTTGGCTTGGTTTTAGTATGCTAAATTCAATGATATTTAGATATCCAAATATTAAGTTGGTAATAACATAGGATCTAGTCAGATTACTTATCAAGATTTAGACAGATAAAATACATACAGCTGATCTTTGAAGCACTTTAGTCAAGTTTGCCTGCATGAATGGTGAGAAAACATCAAGGTCAAAGGGGTCAACAATCTCCTCTAATCTGGTCAGAACTTCTTCAATAGTCTTCTGATACCTCTTGCTCTCCTGTTTAACATAACATAAATTTTTTATTATCTTAATATAATTAAACTATGATTACTTTGGTTATAAAGATAGCCTGAAATTATGAAAATAAAGTGTGAAGCTTTTCAATTTAAGTGTTTCCTAGTGAAAGTTATTGTAACTACATGTGAGCCCAGTGCTTATCAAAAAGGAGCTGTAACCTTGAGATTCAGGTGTCTGCTTTACAACATGGTATAGTAGGTTTGTGCCCTACTTGAGTGACGACCATGCCACCTGATTTAACTCCAGTACATATCTTTTAGAGAGGGTTCTAGAATGGTTCAAATATAAATAATGTTCATAAAATACTACATGTAAATCTCACCTTAGAAGAGGGCCAGACATGAAATACACATACTTCAATAATACAATATCCAGTTACATTATGCTTACACTACACAGACCGTCCAAGACCTTCCTAGGAAAATGACACTTTAGTATTTTTAAAGTCTAATCAGAAAGACTTGTTAGTAATTTTCGCTTTTGGGATCAAACAATAGGTATCTATAACTAATTTCATAAAACAAAATTGTATTTTAAATTGTACTAATCAAAATTACATCATCTGAAAGTGTTCTCAAAATAAATAGGGATACAAATTGCCATTCCTGCAATGTTGGCAAAATAATATTTTTTAAACATTTTTTGTATAAAATGCACATACAATGTTATATTTTATATAATTATAGAACATACTATTCTCATATTGTCAATCAATGAATATCAACCTTAACCACTTTCCTGACCAATACACTTAGTATTGCAGTTAAGATATCAAATATATCTCACCGGACTATCATCTTTCCTGGGTATGATCATACGTAAAAACTTCACATCAAAGATAAGTTGAAGCGCCCTCTGTTGGTTAACACAATGTTCCTTATCAGTTGACGACTGGTTTAACAATGCTTTATATGTGTTAATTATCCCATCTGACAAACTACACACCAGGTGCTCCAGAACACTCCTGTTAATATTGTAATACAAACAAAATAAACTATAATGAAAAGACACATAAACAGAAATGTTTTTTGTTATAACATTTAGAAAGTATTATTGCTTTTCTTTGTTTCCTTTATGTCAAATAATATTAACTCTATCATTGTGTCTTTTAGGGATGTAAACAAACATTCTGCACAATGGCACACATTTTGAGCATTCACATGTTCGTGTACATTCATAGTAATAATGTGAAAATCATCATTTCCATTTTTAGAAATCTATTTCTAAAACGGCAATCAAACTCTGTAAAAAACAAAGGTACTGGTATAATTTGATTTTACCTGGCTACAGCATGTCCACCAATATTGTTTAAATCATTACACAGACTGTACAATAATGACATCATGTACCAGGAAGCCTGAAATATCAATGGGTCATGTAAATAGTAGCCTAGTAAATAGATGAAATGTAAGAAAAAATAAAGATAAAACTGACAAGGTAGGTGGATACTCCTGATTAATGAGATTCAAATAGTTTAATTTTTTGTCAATAAATGTGCCGCGTCATGACAAAACCAACGTAATGCGTTTGCGACCATCGGCGCAGTCTGATCAGGATCCATGCTGTTCGCTGTCAGTTTCTCTACTTGTTATAGGGTTTGTTAGTGAACAGCATGGATCCTGATCAGACTGCACGGATGCACAGGCTGGTCTGGATCCATGCTGGTCGCAAACGCATTACATTGGTTTTGTCGTGACCCAGCTCAAATATTATTCATATCTGAATTTAAAAGGAAAACTGATAACATACATTTATGTTATATCAATACTTATATAAAAGACAAAATGTTTTGTTTGATAAATCATTCAGAAACTCAACAAAACAACAACAAATACTGTAACAATAACTAAGTATATTCAATCTGTATTTCAAATAAACTTTTAAGCTTAGGCATACATGTGTGAAAACATAATACACTACAGGAGTACTTATGTGTAAATAAAATACAGTGTACACGTTACACTATCACTGCCAAATCACGAGCTTGAAAAAAGTACTCAATAATGCCACATGTAACATATCAATCTTACCTGCATGGGAACTGATATTTTAGACATGATTTTCTTGCCATCTTCAGTCTCTTCCTCTATAGATACTTCATCCCACCTCTGTAATACAGTCATACTTTACTTATATGTAGTGCTATTTTGTAAATTGCTAAACATATTGTGGCATACAACACAATACATATAAGATTTTAGAGATGCAGCATTATGTATTGACTTACAATTTTAACAAAGTGGCAAGCTGTGCAACACTCAGACAGGTTTAAAGTAAGTTTAAGAATGTAAGATATTGTGATCTTATGTCATGTCATATTTAAAATGAGGTTACCCATCTTGATTACATCATGAGGGTTTTACATTAATTAAGTGTAAAATAATAAATATGTTGCCTGTTTTACTACGAATACATGTCAAGCAATAAACTTTTTGTTTCTTAAACAAAATCAGTCTTCTTAAGGCTTGGCAATTACTAACACATTTACAAATCTGAGAAAATTTCCATTACTCTACTGCTGGAGACTCACTACAATGTCACAAGGGCAAACTAATTTGTGCATTTGACTGTCAGCAAATGAAGTGGGATTAAGAGGTTGGAAATATTCATTGGCTTACAAAATATTTTGACCTATCCAACAGATGGGTAATAACTTACGGAACAAGTTGCAATCAGCTCTGCAGGTGTTACAGCATTGACTGCCATTGTAAACTGTCCAAGTCCTACCTCTATCACATGGTCTATCCATAACCTAGATAACATATATACAATAATCTTACATTAGGTTTTGAGTAATAATCAATCTATAATAATTCATGAGGTTTTCCAGAATGCATTCTTCTAGTATTTTACATAGCATACCTGAAATTAATGAAAGCAGTCTGCTAATACCTTACCCTTGACCTGCATCAAGTCTTTATCTTATACAGGGCTACGGTTCATGGAGAGTCCTAAGTCTTAAGTCGGTCCCAAGATAAAAATTGAGACAATTTTGCTTTTCAAAGAAAGTCTTAAAAACGGTCCTAAATTTTGACTCCTATATTTATGACTAAACATATTCTAGGAGTGTTTTAAAGGTATCCTAAGACTGTCCTTAGTCAAAACATATAGTTTTTTATATTTAAAAAGAAACAAGAGCCATGTCAACATGGCCATCCCCCGCCGAATGTGTTTGCTCATTGGAAGAATGTATATGTAGTAGAGCGGAATAATTCCATTTTAAGAGGTCTTTTGGTAATGAAAACTGATGGCAATAGTGATTACAGATTTGAAACCTATGTGAATACTGATGGCTGAAAATAACAAAGGGCAATTACTGAAAAATAATGCAGGGTAGGTTATCATTCTTGTGTGCTGCATCCCTCCTCAGTAAAATCTATCCACCTATGAAGTTTCAAGTTGATACCTCAAATACTTTTTGAGAAAAAAATTGAATTGAAAAATTAAGTATGAAAAAGAACAAAGGGCAATAACTCAAAAATTATAAAAGGTAGAGTTATCATTTTTGTGCAGTGCACACCTCCTGAGTGAGATCTATGCACCTATGAAGTTTCATTTTGATATCTCAAAGGCTTTTTGAGTTATGCTCTGGACAAAAATTAATTTTGAAAAATAACAAAGGGCAATAACTCAAAAATAATGCAGGGTAGAGTTATCATTCTTAAGCACTGCACTCCTCCTCAATGAGATCCATCCACCTTTGAAGTTTCAAGTTGATACCTCAAATACTTTTTGAGATAAGATCTGGACAAAATAGCATGAAAAAAAACAAAGGGCAATAACTCAAAAATTGTATAGGGAAGAGTTATCATTCGTGCGCACAACATTCCTCCTCAATAAGATCTATCCACCTATGACATTTCATGTTGATATCTCAAACACTTTTTGAGTTATGTTCCACTCAGGTGAAAAATTAGGTATGAAAAATAACAAAGGGCAATAACTCAAAAATTATGGAAGGTAGAGTTATCATTCTTGTGCACTGCACACCTCCTGAGTGAGATCTATGCACCTATGAAGTTTCATGTTAATATCTCATAGGCTTTTGGAGTTATGCTCTGGACAAAAATCAATTTTGAAAAATAACAAAGGGCAATAACTCAAAAATCATGCAAGGTAGAGTCATCATTCTTGTGCACTGCACTCCTCCTCAATGAGGTCTATCCACCTATGAAGTTTCAAGTTGATAACTCAAATACTTTTAGAGATATGCTCCGAACAAAAATGTCGGACGGAAGGAAGGTCGGACGGACGGAGACTATTTCTATATCCTCCGCCGAAAATTTTCGGCGGGGGATAATAAGATTGATTTATAATTGGTAGATGTCCTCATTATATGCGAAGTTATTGGATATTAAGAACTAAATAAGCTTATATTATAGTAATTTATACATGTTGATGTTATTTGCAATCATGTTATTTTACAGTTATGTCCCCATTCTATACAAATCAAATGGATATATAAAAATGTTCATTAATACAGGTCATGGCGTATTTTTAATGTAATAAATACATTTATCATAAACATGTGCTGCTTTTGCGGCACTGCATCAATGAAAAGATTATTCATTTTTACTGTAAACACTTCTTATTTGGATATGTGATAAATAGAATATTCTAACACAACCACTTTAATCTGTATTGAACATAGGACTGAAATTGTGTGTTATTTATATATAATGCAATTAAAATCACTGTTGATTTTCTATGTTTAGACATGTAATGTAACTATTAGACATTCTATGTAACCACTAAAAATATGTCGCGCTGAAAATACAATGTAAGTATGGAAAAACACAAGTTATGGCAATGTAGGTCACAGGAAGAATTTTGTCTTTTAACAACAATTACAGTTGTTCCGTGCATTTATAAGTTGAAGTTTTGGATATTTACTGTTACGTTAGAGCCAAACCATGTATTCAATTTGTCTAGCTAAATTCTCTATCTATCGTGCCTTCAGCTTAAATAGGCATGTTTTAATCAAAATTACGTATTTTTCAATGCGATCACAATTACCGCTATATTTTATGTAAATAATGTTCTGCCATAGAAAAGAGTTCTGGTATAATTCGCTAAAAACAAAGATATTTTCAACAAATGCTCAAATTTATTCCAGTGAAACAATTTTTACTTTTTGAATATAACAAATTGTAGATAGCAATTAAATATCATATAATAAAAAAGTAGAATACAGTATGTTTGTGTACATGTCTGGTGTGCCATACAATAATTACTTATTTCGATTCTAACATGACAATGCTGCCATACCCAGGGCTTTAGCAACTGGGCGATTTCGGCGACTAAGTCGCCTAAAGTGTCAGAACTTCGCCAAGTTTGAACATCAAAGCGAAAACGATTTCGCCGCATTTTTTTACTGACCACATGTACATATATATCATACAGTGCATGTTTATTAAGTAAATCCTCGCCTCCAGGCATAAATCAAACTGAATTGGTGACCCACATGCAGTTACTGCCGATAATTGACATCAATTAACACATTTAAGTGACATGATATGCAGATGCATCAGAGATTTGCCGATGTAAACATTACATTTTTTAGGCATAATTTTACGACACCTGCCACTATATTATCAGCGAGTGTAAAAAGATTACACCCAGAATTGCTTTTACCAGTTTGACAGTAATTACACGCAACCTCACACAGACCGTGTAAATTTACATGCATATAAATTAATACACAAAGAAGCACAAGTAAATGGTTTGATAGTAAAAATGAAATTTGTTAAAGAACTTAAAAAACATTGACCCACATAAGACAAATTTTGGACAAGTCAAAAGGATTAACTTAGGACTTTCCATGTTTGTGTTTCATTTTACGCCTTTTTCCAACAGTATTTCAGTCATATAAGTGGGTAGTTTCCTTACCATCGTTCCTGGAGAGTTACACCAGTACTAGACTACCTTCCTCTGCGCTAAACTACCAAAGCATCTCCTGGGGATCAAACCCACACCAGAGAGGTAACTGGATTAGAAGTCATCAACTCTAACCCCTCGACCATGAAGGCGGTCAGGACTTTCCATGAAACGCAGCCTACATATACCTTATAGGGTTTTAAATTAACTAAAGGCATTGAATAATGTTCAGATATTTCAATATGACTAAGCAATAAGGCTGATTGTTGGTACATATATTTTAAGTGGCTTATGTTATTAAGTGTCCTGGTATATTTTTATAGCTTACCTGAAAGCAGTCTGCTGGTATTTTATGAGTTGAGATTTAATATTTTCCCAGATGACATTAGATTCTTGTTTCCCTATAACATGCCTTCCTGATGTGGACCTCTTTAACAAAGATCTAGTAAAACAATACAGTTACTTTTATCAACGTTTGCTGTTTAGGACAAAATACGATAAAAATTCTAACTTATTTGGGCATATTATTATTTATTATTTAATATAATTTTCCTAAGACTGTAAGAGGCAACTAAATGTTTGAATTACTAGAGTTTACGCATCTATTAGCTTCAGCAGATAAGTTAGTTTTGACCACTGGTGTTACTTTAAGTTAATAACGCAAACAACAAACTCTCAATATAATGTATCAAAACAACAAAAGAACATTTAAAGATGATATAGCTTGGATTATATATTTTTTGCATTTGAATAAATCATGAACATTATTACCTATCCATTCTAGAGACTTGTTCACTTCCCATCATACACTGCTGTAAGTGTGGGGTAAGGTCACACATGGCTGCACACAGTCTCCCTGATAATAACAGTCTGAAATATTGGAATGTTACTTCAAATTTCAGCCAGCACAAATATAAAGAGTCAAAACAAATATCTGAGTTATATTCAGGATAAGTTGTCAATGACAATGATTTGTTGTTTTGTTAACTGCTGACTTCAAGGCATTATCTATCTTTCTTCAAAATGTATTTTATTACAAGATTTGAAATTCTTATTTCTTCAGAAATCCAAAATCTCTTCATACAAATATCCAGTTAACTATTGTCTCATTTTTTGGACTACTATAAAAAGGATGTTATAGGTATTGAAATGCAAAATTAATCTTGGGGCTGAAATTTTACCTTTAAATACTAGTAAATTACAGATAAAAAAGTTCACACAATCATACATGTACAGTTGAGTTCACACTAAACTTCCCACCCTTGTGCACTTCTAGTGCACTAGAGCTGAACTAGAAGTGCACACCATGTGCACTTCTAGTGCACTAGACCATATGACCAGGCTGGCCAGGGGAAGGTGACACCTAAATGGTTTTATTGGATAATTGCATATCAAGGACATATGCAAACTCAACTGTAATAATTAAAAGGGAAAAAATAAGGACTTCTTTTTATATATGTTTCAAATGACATTCTGAAAGTTTGGGTCAAGACAACAAAAAATTGAAATGTAATCATATCAAGAATATTATTTACTACAAAATTTGACTTACTTGTTACCAATATTTGAACATCTCAGCTTTGATGAAGATAAATCAGCTCTGCAGTCATCCAGTAACTTGGTTAGAAACTCTAAAATTCTGTAATTAATCAAACATAATTTCTCTCAAATAGTTTGAATGAATTAATAACACAACATTTTTCATGGAAGAAATGTTAATAATAGTAACCTTTCAAGGTTTCAATTACAATATCACAAATCTAGCAGTAAAGGGAGTCAAGGGAACTGGTATAACCCATTACCCAATATACATGCCTTTTTTATCCCCCCCCCCCCATTTGTTGTCTCAAATGGTGAAAAAATGCCTTATTTAGGCCCTAAACACTTGTTTTTGTTTGAGAAATGTTGTTTAAAAAAGTGACCACTTTTGTTGCCAGAAGGAGGATGTGCCCCCTTGTGTGGGGGGTTTGAAGGGGGGCGGCAGTCCCCGTCATCACCAGGAAAATATTTGACTTGTGAGAGGCTAAAGATGACCCCAGGTCGATCATAAAGTAACGTGTAACCAATGTTGTAAAGCCATTGACTCTAGCTCAATCCAGTAAGAAGTTGCAGCACTTAAATCAACGCAAAATTTTGGCAATTTTTAGATGTCCCCTCATTGCCATGGTAACAGGAAATTTAAGACTGAGCATGGCGTTACAAAGGCAATGATCCAGTCCATGTGTGCCATGTTTGATTAGTATTGAAGCATTTTTTATAGTTTTATAGCAATTTGAACTTGTAACAGGAGACTTTTCAATGAAAACAGCAATTTTTCACAAAATGCTCATGCAGTAATGGGATAATAGACAAGAGTAACCTATGATAAATCAAAACTGTGACACAACGATAGTTAAAGAACAGTTTCATTGTAAAAGCTCTCTTTTATATTCAAATAAATTTAAAAACAAGAACTTCCAGTAGGATGACACCATGCTTGACTATTCTCAGTGCTAAACCTGAATAATGTAAGAATTCACAACAGGGACAGAGTTATAATAAATAAGATCAAAAGGGCAATAATTAGGTCCAAATCCAAACTATTCTTTGAATAGTCAAGCTAGAAAATGTAATGTTTATCACTATATAAAGTTATTGAATTAATATATTATGGAAAAGTGTATCTATGCTTGAAAAATCAGAGAAATGTAAAACTCTAAGTTAAACATTTGTCAAATAACTCAATTCTTTAATACATAGACTGGTTCAAAAATACTTTTGGTAACTTATACAGTACAAAAAGACTGGTTGCTAACTTACCCTTGTACACATTCCATACATGATGTCTGTACAAATGTAAGCAGGCTAGTAGAAACAGAGGAATCTGGTTGAATGGTGTCGTTTCTATGGCAACACTCATTGTCTCGGCATCTGTGAAGATGTAGAACTTGTAATCCTCACTGACAGCGTCTAGTTCTCCGTCAAACGTCTTACAGAAACTGAAAAAGCACATCAAGCAAAAAAAATTTACCTTAAAAAAGGGAAGGTTTGTAAAGTTCCATATTTCCTTAGGCAAAATCTATATATAAATAGCAGTTCATTGATAAATTTCATGAATATGAAAAATTTGAATTCCAAGGTCAAACTTATTCAGGTGTTAAGGTCATATTTTGAAATATCAAAATGATGCTCTTTTGAAGAAGTATGACTGAATCGTACTTAAACCGAGATATATCTTTCAAAAATTATGCTAAATACACTTTCTTGGATATGCATCTAGGGAAAACAACAGCTAAAAAATAACAAGTAAATATGACTCTTTTTTTTAAACCAGTCATGACTATTGATTAATTAATGTGTTACGAGGAAGTAATTGTACATGAAAGAACTTAAAATCTTATAATGGTCAAAATAGCCATGCTGATGTACAAATTAAGACAGTTCTAAGCTCGGGAGCATAAAAATGTTGATTTATATAACCAAGGATGATATTGAACAGACAGACTAATATGACACAAATCAATAAACATCCTCTAATGATCAAAAAGAGATCATGAAAACATTTGTTTGTAGTTCATCAAATGTTGAAATTATAAACATGATAATCTAAATTTGATCATGTCTTTACCTAAAAGAAAAACATATATACTCAGACACATACATTTAATTATGCCCAAATCATCTAAATTTTCATATATGATATTCATGTTAAATATGAGAGAAAACATTAACCTTTTTACACTCGTACAATGTGAGGAAGAAATAAAATATTTACGTTTGTACAATAGGAGTATAAGCCTTTGCTTTCATCATCAGACCTCCACTCTCTAGCAATGACCTTGACCCTGCCATACCCCAGGCAGTGTTAGCAGCTATGTCTCCTGGGACTCTCTGACCAGATATATCCGGCCAGATCTGTATCAACACATAGTCGGCTGTAATCATAGAAAAATAATTTTAACATATTATCGTAAACATTATAACATGCTTTGAAGTGACGTATTTTACATATACAGTCGACTCCACTTATAATGAACTCGCTTATAACGAATTATTGTTAATAGCGAACTTAATCTAACATCCCCGGCCAATTCCTTCTTTACTTTATATTAAATCACATCGCTTAATACGTACTCGCTTAAAACGAATGTTCGGCTATAGCAAACCATTTTTTCAAGTCTCAAACCACGAAAAAGATGTAAACTTCCTCGATTGAAACAAACTGTTATTATTGAAATATCGGGATGCTCTTGATTAAGATCAGTACATGAATACCACCGTCTGATAATTATTTAATCAAGTGATTGCACAGGTAAGATTAAGATTTTGATAAAATTTTCTCACAACATAATTTCCTACTTGTTACGGAAAATTTGTATTTTGCACCCTAAGATGATAAATTGCTGTCAATACCTGATAATTACCAAATAACCAATTTTTTGTTTGCAATATTAACCAAACAAATAGAAATAGAATACAAATGGTAAGCACTTTATAGACAAGAACTACATGTCTAAATACATGTACCATGTACATAATATATTGTTCAATTAAATGACCCGCATTAAATTTCCGCTGCCATAAAATACCGATTATACTGGTAACCAGTGACAGGTATGCCTTTTTCACGACAAATTTACCCACCAAACAAGTCAGCAAGCTGTTGCTACTTCGCTTTTAGCGAACTTCGGATATAACGAACGATATTTAAATATCCCATTGAGTTCGTTATAAGCGGAGTCGACTGAAGTAGTAATTGAAATTATCAAATATAGTTTCAGTGTAGCAAAAACTTAAGTAGGCTGTAAAATAAATTACAACATCATTTTTTATTATATACAATACTATACAGTTTATTTGCTTTAAACATTATACAATGTTGCTAGCAGTAAATTATAGTACAGTCATTGCATGCTTTCAGTACTACGGTATATGTATAAATCTACACTGAATATTTACAGTGAACTTATCACTATATTGTCCGATATTATTTTATTATAGCATAACTTTATTTGATTGTTGATGAAACAGCATATGGGACAAATGAATGGAAATATGCTACATTATAAGTTCAAATATAAAGATAACTGTCAGGATATAAATCTACAAATATAACTATAATTTACCTGCTATTTTCATCATCTAGTTCTACGATAACTTTATTCATTTGTCTTTCTGTGATCTCAACTGTAGCTTCCAACTGATATTTTATCAAAGCCTAAAATAACATACCACAAACTATAATGTCTAGTTTATATAAAGTCATCTGAATTGTATGTTATTATTCCATACAACCTTTGAGCACTAGAAGATTTTCCAACAGAGAAAGTCAAAGATCTGTATTCTTTTTTCTCTAATTTTAGTTTTTTAACTAATATAATAACATATAAGTGTAAACTTTCATTATTTAAACACTGTTTCCATCATTTCCTCCTTCAAGTTATAAAATAAATCAACACTGTAAATGGCATTTAGTTTCTTTCCAGCTTTACTGGTAAGACCTCAGGTCTTCCTTAATGTTAATATCCCACATGATGGGTCAAATTAGTACAACATGATCTTCCCCATGCAAGCTTTCAGCATATAAAAGAATCCAAAGTTTTTTATGGCATTCAAACCTAAAGTAGTTAGGAGCAAAAGATAGGAAGTCAGAAGTATTGACCACTATGGCTATGTCATGTAAACCCTTCTAAATTCCATCATCAAACTAGATAATTCCATTACAAATAAGGCCCTAAAATCTTGATTGAAAAATGCTTAATAACAGCACAACCTGCCAAAATCTTCCAAAGAACGTCTAAGATGGTTTTGAAGATAGTATACATTTAAAAATAGAAAAACATACCTTGACTCTGTCAACAAAGAGTGGGCGTAGGAGATCATCCCAGATATGTAGAGAATTACTGAGGACACTCTCACATACAACTGTCCAATCCTTCAAACTTATATCCTGTATCAACATATAATACATTAATTACACTTTAATAATTTATATTTTTCTTTTACTTGTCGAACTGATCCAACAAAAACGATTCTGGTCACTAATTTGAATAATTCAATGTCTGGTCAAATATGTTTTTCTATGTGTCTGTCAAACAACTAGTAATATGTCAATAAAAATGGTAGATAATTTCCAACAGCATATAACACAAGTGTGCAGTCTGATTATAAACTCTATGCAGTTGGCATCTGTCTAATTTTAGAATTTTAATACATGTACCCCTAAAAAATTGAAAGTTCTCAATTTAAAGCACTGAGATTTCATTTTGCAAATTAAATCAGCATGAATGTAATAACATTAAATAATTCCATAAAAATTGTTATGATGTATGAAATAGATATTTATAGGCCAAAAAAAAGAGTACTGTAACAAACCTGTGACATAAGCTCCCACACTGTATCTCTGATGGAGGCAAGATGTTTCACAGTATTTACAAAATTCAATAGTGTAGTAACACCGGACTTCACATCATTTATACACCTACAAAATATCATGCACTAAGTAATTTAGCAAGATAGCTTCAAAAAAAGGTTTAAAGTAATTTTTTAACAACACAATATACATCTATGAGTAATTTTCAAGTGTACTGGTCTACAAAGATACATTTTCCATAAGTATTTCAAATATTGATAAAAACAACATCACTGTATCATTTTGGATATTTCTATAAAATATTTCTTGAAAACAAAAATTGACAAGACTTCTAAATGATTTAGTATGAACATTTTATATGATATATAATTTTTGTTCTTGCTTTATGGAGATATGTAATCAGATCATGTATCGCACACTTATCATCTACATTTATATAAAGTTCTTACCTGGTTTGTTTTTATGTATGATACTAGATACTATCAACTTAATTATTAATGGTATTATAGCCCTACCATCATAAACCAGTACATTTAATATTATAACAGTTTATACAAGAACACCGCCAGGTGGAGTATTATATGCCCAAAAGTGTGTTTTTTTTTAGTAAGGATGAAGGATTTGCAAAACATGGGAATTAAATTTAGTATTACCTCCTTTAAATAGCAATCCTCCTATGAAGTTTGAATATTGTTAGCCAAATGGAACATAAGTTATGCTCTGGAAACTGTTTTCAGTTTTATAGTAATAGTGACCTTTATCTTTGACCTTGTGACCCCAAAATCAATAGGGGTGTTCTACCCAATATGGACAATCATCCTATGAAATTTGAACACTGTGGGCCAAATGGAACTTAAGTTATGTTCCGGAAACTGTTTTCAGTTTTTAGGTAATAGTGACCTTGACTTTTGACATTGTGACCCCAAAATCAATAGGGGTGTTCTACCCAATATGGACAATCATCCTATGAAGTCTGAACACTGTGGACCAAATGGAACTTAAGTTATGCTCTGGAAACTGTTTTCAGTTTTAAAGTAATAGTGACCTTGACCTTTGACCTTGTGACCCCGAAATCAAAAGGGATCTTTTACCCAATATGGACAATCATCCTATGAAGTTTGAACACTGTGGGCTAAATGGTACTTAAGTTATGCTCCAGAAACTGTTTTCAGTTTAAAAGTAATAATGACCTTGCCTTTGACATTGTGACCCTAAAATCAATTGGGGTCTTCTACCTAATATGGACAATCATACTATGAAGTTTGAACACTGTGGGCTAAATGGAACTTAAGTTATGCTCTTGAAATTGTTTTTAGTTTTAAGGTAATAGTGACCTTGACCTTTGACCTAATGACCCCAAAATCAATAGGGGTCTTCTACTCAATATGGACAATCATCCTATGAAGTTTGAATACTGTGGGCCACATGGAACTTAAGTTATGCTCCGGAAACCAAATTGCTAATGGATGGACAGACGGACGCCAGGGGATATAACATAATATCCCCGAAATTCTTTTGGGCATATAATAAAATAAAGGAGATACTAACGTTTGTATCCACTGTGTACAGTTGTCATGGAGATGCTGCTGTGATACACCCAGTGAGACTGACTTATGACTGGGACAAAAATCTGTAAATATAAACATAACTATCTTAACCCTTACCTTGCTGGAACTAAACATGAATAACTTTTGACACAAATATAGAGCCAGGCTGACCTGGATGTTTATGCAGTCTGATGAGCATCTATATTGATGGCCGACTTATTTTTAATTTTCATCGTGATTCCCACAAAATTGATAATGAAATGAACAATTTCAAAAATGGAACCTAGCCCTGTACATTTAAGAAATTCACCAGATTTAAGTTACTTTAAACAGTAAATAAATGACAATATAATTTACATTATTATAATTTTTGTCAAATATTTACATTTAACATAATGTATTCAGTCTACAAAGATGACATCACATGAAAATTTAGTTGGTAAAAAGCTATTTGGGGGGAAAATTTCTTTGTATTGTCATCATGATCATATCAAAGTATTTAAACTAGAAGAACGATATTAGTAGATTTTCCTGACAATCATCACAGAGTAATGTTTTATGCCATTTTCTTGAAATATCCAAGCATTTAAAACAAACAGAGACCCTCTTTGTTAAAACTCTTTGAGATATGACCATTTACCAACATGAAAGTACAGCTTTTGTTATTTAATTTTACATATTTCCCAAGTGATAGCTTAGAGGTCATGTGGCAATTCTCCTAAAATACTGAAAGAGACATACATTATATGCCCCTCTGAGTGAAAGTCCTATAAATTTACAGTAAATAATGTCATGAAAAATGAGGAATTTTACCTGTAACAGATGTTGGCAAACATCTAGCTGAGACAGAGCTGTGTAAATCTAATAAACCACTCTCTGAAAACACACCAAATTATATTTTATCCTTGGTTATTGAATGATACCAATGAGCCCATTTTGTTACATTGTCAATTATCTATATGCATGCTAAAAACATATAAATAGATGCAATACCCTACCTAGAGCTTAGCTAAATCTTTCATATATTTGAACAAAGAGATTTTTGCATATCCTTGTTTTTAAGCTTTTATTTGAATTATAAAATAAATTATTCCTGTAATAGTGTTGAATCTTGGTCACATACAGTCATTTTCAATGGATAAATAATACCTATCCAAATTGATTTGCCTTATTTCATACTATGTATAATGCATTACTTGAGTTCATACTACTTAGTAATATGCATGTCATTAAAAACACTCGTGTAGTTTTTTTTTTCATTAGGAATTATAGTTCTCATAGTAAAATGAAAACAATACAAGTATATTTTTCTGCTGGATTGGATGGCTCTAGTTACTCACCATAATCAATGGTCTACAATCACATCGAGTCATGAAGGAAATCATAGTTAAACATTCATGTGCTTTATCTATCCCTTACAATTGCTGTATTAGTAGATCTTTAAAATCTGAACTGGCCATTTATATATTATAGATTTCCATCAATAAAATAATAAACTAAAACTGGGCATTAAAGAATATTGAGTGTTGCTCTACTTTATGGATGGCTTGACATTATATAGGTTGCATATAGAAGTATCCATTGCATTGATTCAGTGTTGTTACAGCAAACTAATATTACTCACCATGTTGTTTCTGTGTGGTCACTTTTGTGAGGGTTCTCAACAACAGATTTGTGCATTCTGAAAAAAACATTAACATTGTTCTTATAAAGACTTATTTCTGCATAGAATTTCTTGCTATGATCCTATGACACTGTATATGAAAGAATAGACTTTTTTATTAAAGTAGCATGCCTCTAGATTTATGCATTAAAAAAAAATCAAATTTCAAAAGTGCTCTAATTACCAATTGTTAAAACATTGTTTAATATTTATTTAACTGTGGTGACTCTATGATTTAAGGTTATGGACTCTTTTCTGATGCCCCTCTGCTTTAAACTAGAAATGTGTCCATAGGACACGGATGCCCCCACACGCCACTGTTCTGTCAATCTTATGACTCTAGGTCAAATATTTTTTGGACTACATGTGCCACAAGTTGAAAACTAAAAATCAAACAAGGCCATAATTCTGTTAAATTTGGTCGCAGCAAAAATTCCTTACTTTAAAACCATCTACACATTAAGGTTGTTCATCCCTGGAAGTTTAAGCAAAATCTGCCATTTGGTTTAAGAGGAGTTGCATTCACAAAATTTCTACATAGTATATAGTGAAAAAATCAACAAAAGGGCCATAATTCTGTAAAATTTGGTCGCAGCGAAAATTCCTTCCTTTACTACCATCTACACCTTAAGATTGTTCATCCCTGTAATTTAAGCAAAATCTGCCACCCGGTTTAAGAAGAGTTGCGTTCACAAATTTCTACATAGTATATAGTGAAAAAATCAACACAGGGCCATAATTCTGTAAAATTTGGTCGCATCAAAAAAATTCCTTCCTTTACTACCATCTACACCTTAAGGTTGTTCATCCCTGTAAGTTTAAGCAAAATCTGCCAACCGGTTTAAGAGGAGTTGCGGTCACAAAATTTCTACATAGTATATAGTGAAAAAATCAACAAAGGGCCATAATTCTGTTAAATTTGGTTGCAGCAAAAATTCCTTCCTTTACTACCATCTACACATTAAGGTTGTTCATCCCTGTAAGTTTAAGCAAAATCTGTCATCCGGTTTAAGAGGAGTTGCATTCACAAAATTTCTATATAGTATCTAGTAAAAAAATCAACAAAGGGCCATAATTCTGTTAAATTTGGTCACAGCAAAAATTCCTTCCTTTACTACCATCTACATATTAAGGTTGTTCATCCCTGTAAGTTTAAGCAAAATCTGCCATCCGGTTTAAGAGGAGTTGCGTTCACAAGATTTCGGGACGTACGGACGGACGGACTGACGGACGGACAAGTGCAACGCTATATGCACCCACATTGTGGGGGCATAAAAATACAGGGCATGTCCTGAGACCTAGGTCAAAAAACTATCGTGGTATATTCAAACAATGACACAAGGTCTTAAAATAAATTTCTTATAACTTTTGTAATTGATTTAATCACATATAGTTTGTAACAGATCAGTAATCAGTGTACCTGTGTCATCACTGGTATCTTGTCCCTCAGCTGTATAAAACACAGCATAGATCTGATGTATGGTTGTAGTAATCAACTGAACAACTGTACATATCTGTTCCTTAGTTCCCAGTGAATCACTGTTCACATGAAACAACTGTTGTATAGCAGACTGAAATACATAATAACAGTGTATTAAAAAGTCTGCATTTTTAACAAATATTACTTTTTTTATATAAAAAACACAATATCAATCAAGTTCAACACTAGATGCTTACTAAAAGTAGCATAGGAGAATAGAAAGAATAAGTGAGAGATGGAGGAAAGGAGCAGTTAATATATACATTCAGGTTGTGTATATTTTGTTATTTTCAGAATAAGTGTATTTTATTATTTTTTAAGCCCCCAATATTTAGTGGGGGTGAAGGCATATTGAATTGCCCCTGTTCATTCATCCTGCTGTATGTTAGCAGACTGACATAGTAGTGGAATGTTAGGGCATCCATGTTCTATAAACATATTTTTAGTTGAGTTTTTAGTCACACAGAAACTGTAAATGTCAGAAGGCAACTTCCTAGCTTTGCTGGTGGAGGAAGACTTCAGGTGTCCCGTCATACATTATTTCAGGCACATAAAACAAAGAGATATATAGTATTAGTTCAGAAGCTTTCAATGAATCCAAAAAAAGTTTAAGAATGAATACTTACTGTTCTAGCTAGGAGGAATTCATTAAACACTTGTCTAGGATTAGAGTTCTCCAGCAACAAAATCGAACACAAACTGTCAGCTATTTTCTGTAAAATTAACTATTATTTTTAATACTTAGGTTTATTTGTATAACTCTCAAGGATGCATACTGTATATGGCTAAAAATTGGTGATGATTTAATTAAGGCAACATACCAAATCTAACACCACCATTTTAAAACATCTCTAAGCAAGAAAGATTTTCTGTAATTGAAATTTGTCAGTATAGCAAATATACTTAAGTTACTTCAAAGTTAAATTGAGCAAACCTGATCAGATACTGTGGTCTCTTTTATCAGTCTTCTACAACCCTGCAATATATAAAACATTTACATGTACTTAAAATATGGTCATGCTGTTAAAATATTTACCATATTTATCCTTATTATAACTCCCATCATAACTGCCGCTTCCTCGTGACATGTGAGTGTTATTTCAAAATTGCCAAAAGTTTACATTCATGGCAAGTTGAAGTCTTTTTTAACTAAACAATTTGAGTATTTTCTACTTCTTGAAAATGGCACAACACAAAGTCTAAAGTTTTCTAAATTAATGATCTGCCTAAGATACTATACATTCTACATATTTAGTTGAAATGCTCATTAAAAAACTTCATTTTTAATATAATTTGTTCAATTTTTACCTTAATATTCATTCAATTTATTTACCTGCAGTATGGTTATTTTAAAGTGACTGATGGCGGCCCACTGTCTATTGAGCACAGGGAACCAGTACAGGAAGTTGGGAGCATTCTGGGAGGTGAGCTGTAGACTGGTATTGATATGTTGAGCTAGAAGATACAGTCTGCTGGCTGATAAATAGTCCTCACAGTCTAGACATGTCCACATCTGTAAAATTATACCATTATATGATAAAAAATCATAAAGAAATGTTTCAAAGTAATCTATTAAGCTTCTATATTTAGACAATTTACTGACATGTGCATAAACAATCCTGAAAATGTTCTATATTTAGACAATTTACTGACATGTATATAAACAATCCCGAAAATGTTCTATATTTAGACAATTTACTGACATGTGCATAGAAGAGGTTTTTTTATAAACAAATGGGGATGGGGTGAACTGACTGTTTCAATTTTCTTTTGACTACAACACTTAACTTTTGAAATTTAAATGGCAGGAGTTGATGCAAAAATGTTGAAACTAATGATGCAAGATTTACATTACCAAGTGGACTCAACAAGCCCTACCTTCTCTGGGATATCCAGTAGAAGTTTAATTTGTGAGGCAACCTCGTGAAACTTCGCTTCTTCCTTCCTTCTAAAGTTTAATAAAACAAATCATAATAATAAACTGTAAATAAAAACACTGAAATGGAAAATGCCTACATGATAATTAAAAAAGGAGCTTTCAGTAGGACAGCGTGTTTGACTATTTTCAGTACTGGATAGTTAAACAAGAGCCTGGATAATAAAGAACTTTTTAATTTCAAAAAGGACAATAATTCTGTCAAAATTTATGTCTGAGTTATAGGCTACAGTGATCTATTATGCTCTTAAATATGTGTGTGAAGTTTTAAGCCATTCCCGTCAGTAGTTTTGGTGATACCAACTTGCAAAAATCAACGAAAGTGTGAAGTTGATTCCCTAGCTAATGCCTTGGGTGATTGAAATAGCTCTCCCTTTTCTTCGAATAGTCAAGATAGCTTTCTTGATAAGACTGTAGCTACTCCTTCACACATCATTTCTTTCCAGATCAGGAACCTGAATAAAACCACTGACCTCTTGCAAACTAGCTGGACAGATTCCTCACATGAACAAATCATGATCTCTGGAGGCATTTAGACCCTAAGTGATCATTGCAATGTGATTGAAAATGGTGACTTATATAATTTGGCCACAAAGACGTCACACATTAAATAAATCCTGAAGATGGCATTAACTAACAGTCTAACTGTTTGTTTGTTTGTTTGTTTCATTTTACGCCTTTACCCAACACTATTTCAGTCATATAGGCGGGTAGTTTCCTAACCATCATTCCTGGAGAGTTACACCAGTACTAGACTACCGTGCTAAACAACAAAATATCTCCCGGGGATCAAACCCACGCCAGAGAGGTACATGTAACTGGATAAGAAGTCATCGACTCTAACCCCTCGGCCACGGAGGCGGTTTTAACTAACAGACATGCAAACTTTTGTAACATCAAGTCCATTAATTACCTTTAAATCAAAGACAAAGCACAAGATCTGTTGACCATTTACATGACACCTCCCTAACTTCAAATCAAACTTGCAAAAATTCATCCTAGGATAAAATAAGAAAACTAAACACCTCAAAATTATATGTAATGTACCTTATTTCTATTTCCTGTTTCTTTTTCAGCTGTAGAGAAGAACTTTTCACCATTTGGTTGTGTTTCAACTCTGTACAGAGTGTCTCAATCCGTCCTATTGTTGACATCACCTTTAATCAAAAAATGTTTTTGTATACTTTTCCATATGTATACAATTCCATATTTTGATGTACATATTTCAGGGTAAAATTGAGAATGTTTGTTTGTTTTTAGTCAATTATGAAATATATTCTGATTTAAAAAAGAGCTTTTGTTTAAATATTTAAAGTACACAAAATGCCAATGAGAATATCACACTTCCAAACAAGATATATCTAATAATCACAAACTTTTTTAAATTACACAAAACAAACCTAATTTTTATCCTATTTCATAACCTACAGCTTTTGCATGAAAACCACTAAGGCATTATCATTGCTTCAGAAAAAAACCTATTTCATACCACACTAAAATAACATTCCCATGATATCATGAAGGACTTTATGCCAAGTGCTTTCTTCTTTGCTACATCTTTTAATGTATATGAGAGTAGTGGCCTAGTGGTTAAGGTTTCTACCTCTCCACCAAGTTATCACAGGTTCCAGCCCTACATGGGTTACAACTATGTTTCTAAGACACTAGTTCTGCATAGTTTCAGGAAAATGGACTCCAGAGAGGTCCAATTTAGCTTCAAGTTTTCATCACAGACCAAGCCAAAATCATTTTATCTTTCCTATAGGTGTTAAGATGTCAGGTTAATTAATTTCTCCGTAGTTACCAAAATAACTGTTAACAGGAACACTTACTTTCTCTGCACTATTTTTCATCTCAGCTATGGTATCAGCTGCTTCTATCAAGTCCCTGTACCTCTCACTGTATATAAATACAAAGCAAAAAAAAAGTTTTAGTTCATGTGTCTAATATTCTAAGTTCAACACACATTTACTCACTCACTGACTGTATAGCTTATTTTATTATCGATGGGTTTCTTAAATATTTATTTCAATGTCTCTGCAGTCACTCACTGACTGTATAACTTATTATATTGTCAATGGATTACTAAAATCTAACTTTCAAATCTCCCTGCAGTCTTTTTGCAGTCTTTTACTGTTAGCAGCCCACATTATGACATCATGCTTAACTTGCACTATAGTGTCATTAAATTATAAAACCTTCTTAAATATCCATGAAACCTAGATGAAGTCAGAAGTTGAGTAATATTGAGTAAAGTAATTGTAAACAATAAGAATTACACCTGGGAAATTACTATCCCAAAGTAAATGTCCTACCAGTGGACAACTGCTAGCTACAATATATAGACAATAAACAATGATAATTTTTCTTGTCTTAATCAAAATACATTAGGAGGAAACATAAATCATATTTTTCATCTGCACAGGATCTTGATGAATGCAAGCACTGGATTTATTTTGCTCTTGACTATGCAAATGTCCAACTACCAGAACTGATTTAAATGTTAAAATTTAAGATCTGTGCATCTTTCTAAATTAAGCCCATAAATTCCATGGAATAAATAATAGTTTCTCTAGCAGTGTGTTGTTGACACAAAGATTCTTTAATTTAGATTTGCATTAATTTAGATGTATATTTTAGACTAAAGGGTGGGAATTTTACGCCAGGTGGCATTTAAAGGGTGAAACACTAATGTGTTTTTATCAATAGTGTGACAATAGTTCTTTAACCCATTACCCAATATACACGGCTTTTAACCCCTTTTGCCCACTCCCCCTTTTGTTGTCACAAATGGTGAAAAAATGCTTCATTTAGGCCCCCAACACTTGTTTTTGTTGTTTAAAAAGGTGAGCACTTTTTTGGCGCAACTCCTTATCCAAAAGATACATGAGGGGGTTGCCAGAAGGGGGATGTGCCCTGTTTTGGGGGATTTGAAGAAAGGCGGTAGCCCCCCTCATCGCCAAGAACATTTTGGACTTGTGAGAGGCTAAAAATGACCCCAGATTGATCATAAATTAACGTGTAACCAACGCTGAAAAGCGTTTGACTCTATCTCAATCCATTGAGAATCAATTTTGATGGAAAATATCAACGCAAAATAGTGATTTTTTTCAATTTTGAGATGTTCCCTTATTGCCATGGTAACAGGAAATTTAAGCCTGAGCATATTGTTACAAAGGCAATGGTCTACTCAACATTTGTGCCAAGTTTGATTAATATTGAAGCAGTTTTTCTAGTTTTATAGCAATTTGAACTTGTAATGGGAGACTTTTCAATGAAAACAGCCATTTTTTACAAAATGCTTATGAAGCCATAATGGGTTAATTCTTTATAACATTTTTGTATTATATCTTAATCAGTTTAGATAAAACACTACATATGTTTTTCAAAATAGCATCCGAGCTACCAACCTTAAGATGAATACAAATACAGGTGAAATAACCCCTTTTTACATAGAAATGTTAAAAATTTCATACCCAACCATGGTCCTTAAATCTTCTTTCTTTCTTTCAATATCAGCTCTGAAAAAAATTGTAAATTTTATTTTATCTTTTGTCTTGAATTTTCAGGTACTAACTACTCTTGTTTAGATAGTATAACTTGTATTTTTTGTAGGTACTGTTTAATTAATTGTGTTAATTTATATGAATATCTGCCTGCTACTCAGTGGCCAATGAAACAAGATAAATGGTCACTAAATTTAGGAAAATCACTAAAAGGACAAACAATAATGAGATGAATTATTACCTACATGTACATAAACATGTATAATACATTTATATGTATAAGTGCATATACATGTACATGTATTTAATAATTCATCTCAACCCGGTTTGACTGTCTACTACAGTCCCAAGGTGGCTGTAGGTCAAATATCAAATATTCACAATCATTAGTAAAGATCAATAATATTTTACTTGTATATCATACATGTATATCACAGTTTGAACATGGTGACAATAACTGGCAAATTAAACTTTCTATGATAAACAAAGTAAATGGGATAATCCTGATTATCCACTTGTTGATCTGAAGTGAAAGAAGAAAAACAGGACCAAATTGAGATCTCTTAACTTTACCTTGTCCTTTTTTCGATATCCCTAATCTCATCAACTGAATATTTCTCAAATAATATATTTGTGTCCATTTCATGGACTGGCAAACCTAAAAATAAAATAAAATTACTTATATATAACTAATATAAGTTTGATACATTAAAAGCTAATATGCATGCAACTATGCCTATATCAGTATTTTTATAAGACGTTCACTAGCCATGAAATCCTGAGGGTCATTTTGAACATTATGGACTAAGTTTACCCAACTACAAGGTCAAATCCCATGATTTGAACAAAATTTGACAATCCAGTTAAAATCCTGAGGGTTAAATCAGAACTTTTGGAAATTTGAAGGGTCAAAGAGTCATTTCAAGGGTCAAACGGACACCCTGTAAGATATCCAATGTTGTCACTGCATAGCATTTGTCACATTAGAATTTACATGTAACACATGGCTGTCAAAACTAGAACTGCCACTATCATGGTGTGAATACCCCCGCATACCACTTTGTCATAATCAACAGTGGCCATTAAGAGCTCAAGGAAAACCTCCCTGCCAAATCTGAGGTTACTAAGCCAGTGCATTGCTAAGTTATGTATTCTACATGCTTCAAATGTGAAAATGTCAAAATCAATACATTGCGGACAGGACATTCTTTAGCAATTGAGAAGAAAAGCTTTTGTCAAAGTCCCTGTGACCTTGACCTTTGACCCAGTGACCTCAAAATCAATAGGGGTCACCTTATAGTCATGATCAACATCCATGCCAAATAAGAAGACTGTTGGTCAAAGGAATCTAAAGTTAATGGGTGGACAAACTTTTTGAAGTCAAAGTCCCTATGACCTTGACCTTTGATCCAGTGATCTCAAAATCAATAGGGGTCATCTACTAATCATGACTAACCTCCATGCCAAATATGAAGACTGTGGGTCAAAGGAATCTTAACTTATAGGGCGGACAAGCTTTTTGAAGTCAAGGCCCCTGTTACCTTGACCTTTGACCTGGTGACCACAAAGTCAATAGGGGTCATCTACTAATCATGACTAACCTCCATGCCAAATATGAAGACTGTAGGTCAAAGGAATCTTAAGTTATTGGGCGGACAACCTTTTTAGAGTCAAGGCCCCTGTGACCTTGACCTTTGACCTGATGACCTCAAAGTCAATAGGGGTCATCTACTTATCATGACTAGCCTCCATGCCAAATATGAAGACTGTGGGTCAAAGGAATCTTAAGTTATTGGGCGGACAAGCTTTTTGAAGTGAAGGCCCCTGTGACCTTGACCTTTGACCTGGTGACCTCAAAATCAGTAGGGGTCATCTACTAATCATGACTAACCTCCATGCCAAATATGAAGACTGTGGGTCAAAGGAATCCTAAGTTATTGGGTGGACAAGCTTTTTGAAGTCAAGGCCCTTGTGACCTTGACCTTTGACCTGGTGACCTCAAAGTCAATAGGGGTCATCTACTTATCATGACTAGCCTCCATGCCAAATATGAAGACTGTGGGTCAAAGGAATCTTAAGTTATTGGGCGGACAAGCTTTTTGAATTGAAGGCCCCTGTGACCTTGACCTTTGACCGGGTGACCTCAAAATCAATAGGGGTCATCTACTAATCATGACTAACCTCCATGCCAAATATGAAGACTATGGGTCAAAGGAATCTTAAGTTATTGGGCGGACAAGCTTTTTGAAGTGAAGGCCCTTGTGACCTTGACCTTTGACCTGGTGACCTCAAAATCAATAGGGGTCATCTACTAATCATGACTAACCTCCATGCCAAATATGACGACTGTAGGTCAAAGGAATCTTAAGTTATTGGGCGGACAAGCTTTTTGAAGTCAAGGCCCCTGAGACATTGACCTTTGACCTGGTGACCTCAAAATCAATAGGGGTCATCTACTAATCATGACTAACCTCCATGCCAAATATGAAGACTGTAGGTCAAAGGAATCTTAAGTTATTGAGCGGACAAAAAAAAAAACGACAGACGGACGGCCGGACAAGCTGATTCCAGTATACCCCCCTTACAACTTTGTAGTGCGGGGGTATAATAATATTTTATAGTTGTTAATTAATTTCAAAAACACAATTTTCCATTTGATGTCTTACTCAAACCTGATACTGGTATATCATTTTGATTTATTTGAGCCATGAATGAACTCAACTAATCGAATTTGATATTTCATTCTGTATGTCCGTGTCCTTTCAATTAATAAATCTTTACCTGTTAACATATGGGATGTAGAATGTCATACGCCAATATATCTTTTTTTTTTACATTTTCACTGAATCAACTGACTGCCTATTGTGAAATAATTTTTTTCTGTGTTGTACAAATTTTCTCCCAGTCATTCATCAATAAAATAAAAGCAGATAAAACATTTTTTTTTTCATTTTATTTCTAACTATGTAAATCTAAATAAAACACTTGTCTAAACCTGCCATTGATGTGAAAGTAGAAAAGGAAGTGTTGCATGGTTAATGACTTGATTAAATTATGATTGTCGGCATGCCTTTTGAAGGCGTTGAACCACAAATGAAAGGTCTGTTGGATCTCAGGACTGTGTCATAACCACCAGTCTGCATCATGTTCATGTTGGATTCTTTTATTTGGAATAATTCAATAACAAACATAAGTGATTTCAAAAAATGTAACAGAAAAAATACTCTGTAATATGAGTTACATAGAATTTTTCAATGGACCTGGAAAAAACTTATACTCATTGTAGTATCATTTAACAACCCGCTAGTCTCCAATTTTACGCTCTTGTTAAACTTTGGAAATATCCAAGAATTATTGTTTACATAGCTGACATAGTTTTTCATCGGAGAAATATTTGTATTGGAAAGTGTGTCTTGTACATTTTATGATAAATAATTGTTACTTCTTATATAAGGACAAAATGCTTGGTCTTTTTTTTTGTTGATGTATCTTTGGGAATTCAATATTGCGGTATTTCGGTTACTTTTACCATTACCGTTATTGACCGGTCTTTGTAGATCCTGAAATTCTACCCAAAACAAAAAAAGAGAACGATTTAAATAAAAATCCCATATTAAATACTACTTTTATTTATATGGGATTTTTACTTAAATCGTTTTTTTATATTTTTTTGGATAGAATTTCGGGATCTTCAAAACCGGTCAATAACGGTATGACGGAGTTTATCGCTTGAACTGGCAATGGAACCGCAATTAGAGAAGAGCAGTGATATATTCATTCAATTGGCATAAAAGTTGGATAGTTGTTAAGAGTAAGTTGTGTTTCTGGTAGATTTTAATGTGCTTTATTGATTTAGTGTGCTCGGAAGTAAATTCCAGGAGTTTTTACGAATATCCCTGGTAAATGTGGTGGTGGGTGGGGAAATGTTGTTGCCTTCCTTGTGTTTTTTTATAGTATATGTATGGGATTTTTTTTAAAATCGTTATTTTTTTGTTTTGGATAGAATTTCAGGTTCCTGTGGTGTATTCTTCTTTCTAGTAGATTTTCTATTTTTACGAAATATTTTTTTCTTTTCGCAAAAAATGATGATTAAAATACAATGATATATGATATAACATATACAAGACATAAATGTGCGGTTTATAATTTATATTCTCTATAGACTGTTTGCAGTGTCCGATTCATGTTATGTCCGAAACACACACCACTTGGATTTAAGAAAAAATCAGGCATGCAATACCATAATCATTTAATGATTATGGAAGAAAAATACCCTAATACACACATATTTCTACAAATATTTCAGAAAAGTATCATAATGTGAATAAACCTTACTTTTAGTTTCGTTTTTTGACATGTTGGCAAAATTTGCAGAGTGGTCTACCTTCCGTAATGAGCTGCACTAAACTGCTGACGAATATTAGCTGGCGATTTAATTTATAATTTATGTGGCAGGAGAGGCGACAGGTTGCAAAACTTTCACAGCCTGGCTTCGCAAGTTCCTCATCCCATTTTTAGAGCCTGAAGCTTGGACTCATCTGTATTAAAAATTTCATAAATAGAAATTAAGAATGATTATCAAAAGCAAAATAAATGAAGTTTTGTTCTATTTTAACAAATTAAACCTCTACTGTACTGTACTGTAATTATATATACTTGATCATGGAGCTAAATATAAGATTGCTTATATATCTGTGACTTGATATACTGTGTGTAAATTTTAATTCAAAATTTAACAAATAATAATTTCACGTACTACTAAAAAGGGAAATAACAAATTTATAACTTAAATGTAAAAATCAGATCATTTATTTATGTACAAAGCAAGAAAATAACCTGCCCTGCTAAACACCTCCTTCCTTGTAAAAAGAAAGATTCACTTGTCTTTTTTTAAATAATTAGGCCTACACTGTTACATAAATCTGGTATTTATCTTGAACATCCGTCATTCAGCTTTATAAGCGATCCATCACAAAATTGGATAACTTCATTTCCATAGGCGGATTTTTTGCTAGTATTCGTTAGGAAGAATTTTCTCTGCTAGTGATTTTCTTAGTAGATATTTTCTTCCTGGTTAAGATATTTTAGGCGGATTTTTTTCGACTAAGAATTTTCATAAGGCAGAATTTCTTCCTGCTAGTGCCTTCCTTTAGCTGCATTTTTGCCTGGTTAAATTTTCTTAGGAGATTTTTTCCCCTCTACCCTAACCGTTTCATCCTAAGAAAAAATTTGCATATTTCGCAGTGTATTCCTGCCTATAGGAGGAATCTGTAATATGTAAGTCTGGAATTCCCTAGACAGCTAGATTAGGCCTTGTAGCTAGGCATAATTTTTGCTTTTTTCAGGGCGGAAGTTTTCGTACGGGCAAGCTAGAATTAACTATGATTACCGTACTTAAAAAATCCTGAACTCTTTGTCTTGATATAGATTTACAATTACTGCATGTTTACTCTATGGTCACTCCTATTTTGTTATATGGTGTAGAAGTGTGGGGTGTAGGTAGCCCAACAAATTGTGCGCTTTTGGGTTTTTTATTATTATAGAGGAATCGGGCGACAGACATCCATGAAAATCGGTCGGTATTGCAGTCGAAATATTGAGACTAATTAGTTTGCATACCACCTCAAATATTTTCAAAGTCCATGGACTGGAGGTTTGCACACTTGTTCACCACCATGCCCCCAACATGTAGACAGGATGAGATATTAAACAGAAAGGGAGGCAACATGTATGCCTGATGAACAGTTTCAGTTTAATTGGCAATATGCAAATAATTTTCATTTTATTTTTACAATAAAGATATAATATAAATGGAAGACGGTATACTAAATATGAACTCATAAATAAAAGAAACAAAGAGCTGTCTGTAGGACAACATGTTCCAATTTTCTCGGTTCTTGTAAAACAAGAAACTTGATAATGTAGAATTTTGTACGTTCAAAAAGGGCTATAACTCTGTTAAAATCCATGTAAGAGTTATGGGCCTGGGATAGTGACCTCCAGTAATGCTCTGAAAGAGCAATTATTATTCTTTTTGATTTATAACAAACAATAATCAGATAAGTTTTCAAACATTCAACAAAATAAATGATCAAGTTTTTTATTCTAGACAACAAACATAATGTGAAAATGGAAAACTGTCAATGCTTTAGGAAGGGATATAGCATCAAAAAGCATTTACCAGAATGATGTATTATCTTAACTCACATTGTGTGTGTAGTTCATTATAATCTACGCCAAAGACTTTAATATCCAGTAACATACAAGTTATGACCTACAGAAAAGAACATGTGTGGGGTTTTATGTGGATATTTTACCATGACCGTGGAAAGGAAAAATACAGCATGGTAATTTATAAAATCAAACTGAGCCAACATAATGAGAGCATGGTAAGTTAGGTTAAGGCATTACATAATGACAGGATAAACGGTAAAGAATTCCGAATTAATTAAGAAAATTATTCAGATAGATTAACATCAAAGTCCGTTTAAATTAATATATAAAAGAAACTTTAAATAGATAAATGTATTTCTTATAGACTTATAGAAATATTGAGAAATGTTGATGAAATAAAATGGGTATTTACATTTTCCGTATTTTCACTGTAAAAATGTATTTTTCACTGCTGTCAAACAGATATTTCATATTTTCACTAGTGTCTTGCCGGACTACTTTCTTCTAAATTCAGCATATACACAAAATTTGTATATGGGGAAGTATTTGAATTTTTAATGATAAAAATCTATATCAGTAACAGAAAATCCAAGTTCTTTTTTTAAATATAGGATTTATTTTCTTCTTGTTGTACAGACCTCTCGTAATGACAAGTAACAGATTGCCAAATTATCACCTGATAATGGGTGTAATGAATGAAATTCCAGAACAATTAGGGTTAATAGTAAAGATGGGATAAAAATGATAATGAAAAACTCTCCAGAACCCCCAAAGTTGTGGTATGTTCGAATCCCAAATTATTCCGAAAATGATTATGTCACAGTATTGAACTGTTCTCTAATCAGGGGAGGTATAGTTTGTAGGCGGTCGGATAGCTCAGTCAGTAGAGCCGCAGTACGGTATTCCACGGGTCCAATGTTTGAGTCTCGGTCAGGCTGCACATTAAAAAATAATTTAGTGAGTAAAGTATGTAAGGGATCAATTGGGAGGGAACTCTTTTTTAGGGAAATCTCAGATGATTCCTACATCTGAATACAAGTATTGTATTGCTTTAAAAATTGTACATCTTATCTCTAATTAGTGTTACAACTAAATCCTACCGTCTGTTGAGGCCTTATCCTGTTGTACTGTTTGACAGCATGCCATAGTACCATGTGTTTTAATATAATTATTTATTACCCTTCCAGATTTTTTCCGCCTTTTTGATTGGATATTGATCACCCGAAAGAAATTGATATAACCGAGCCAGACGGGTAATATACACACTAAATTTCCCCGTTGGGTACCCAACGTTGTAAACGACATGCGCTGAGGTGATGCGCGTACGGTTCGATTTTACGCGGTGTAAATTCCGATTTACAAGCACTTTTTAACTGTCAAATGATAAATATTTACCAAAATAGAGTAATGATACACTCCCATCAGTATAGAAAACAAATATGACCTTGTGAAAGCTTGATATTAATTACAAAAAAAATGCTTTCAATAGACTATTCCTTTTCTCTTGTTTACATTCGTTAGGTACGGGAAAAATACGTCATGTATTTATGTGACGTCATGTTGTGATGAAGAGGTACCCTAAAGGGAATCTTATTTCGACGTTTCATTTGAAACAGCAATGATTTTTTAAAAAATCGTCTAAACTCGGCAGGGGAAGGGTAATAAAATTATTATTTTGGTTTTGGAGTGATATATGTGGAAATATTACCTGCCAAGATAAAATATCACCCTCGCCTAACGGCTCGGGTGATATAAAATCTTAACAGGTAATATATCCACATATATCACTCCAAAACCAAAATAACATATATTATTACCCTTCCAGATTTTTCCGCCTTTTTGATTGGATATTGATCACCCGAAAGAAATTGATATAACCGAGCCAGACGGGTAATATACACACTATATTTCCCCGTTGGGTACCCAACGTTGTAAACAACATGCGCTGAGGTGATGCGCGTACGGTTCGATACGCGGTGTAAATTCCGATTTAAAAGCACTTTTTAACTGTCAAATGATAAATATTTACCGAAGTAGAGTAATGATACATATTACCATCAGTATCGAAAACAAATATGACCTTGTGAAAGCTTGATATTAATTACAAAAAAAGTGCATTCAATAGACTACTCCTTTTCTCTTGTTTACATTCGTTAGGTACGGGAAAAATACGTCATGTATTTATGTGACGTCATGTTGTGACGAAGAGGTACCCTAAAGGGAATCTTATTTCGACGTTTCATTTAAAACAGCAATGATTTTTTTAAAAAATCGTCTAAACTCGGCAGGGGAAGGGTAATAAAATTATTATTTTGGTTTTGGAGTGATATATGTGGATATATTACCTGCCAAGATAAAATATCACCCTCGCCTAACGGCTCGGGTGATACAAAATCTTAACAGGTAATATATCCACATATATCACTCCAAAACCAAAATAGCATATAACATTGGTTTAATATGTCATATATATGTAAGGGACGTACATACGCGTTTTTTATATTTTGTTTTAAGGCACACACCGTATTACCGGCGGCAGTGATGGCAGATCACTGCAGTGATGGCAGATATCTGAAAATTACCGATCGGTACAGGTAGGTTATAAATTTGGTTGGTTTAATTATATTACACAAATACGGCCCATATCATTGCTATAAAACTATTGTCCATTGAATGGAGATACTGTAAGGTAATTTTGGACTCGTTTTTTCCTGTTTTAAGACTATTTTGAGCAGGTTAAAAGTGAAAGCCTTGGAAAAAAATCCGTGAAAATGTCTGTTTTCTGTTCAAAATATCTCAAGTTTTAAGTAAATGGCAGGGTTTCCTGTTATCAATATAGACGTTCATCCATTGGGGTCACGCAAGCCAAATATCTACTCCGTGAGTCTTTTCTTGAAAGTTTTACAGACGCTCAATCTTGACCGGTCGAAGAAAAAATGCTGCCGTTGTAGGCAGATACATATCATAAATGCTGCCGTCGATGGCAGAAATACCACGAAAGTGGCTAACATTCTGACAGAAAATCAAGTTCAATCTTTTATCAATTCCTCTTTTCTTTGCGTCCTTTTAGTCGGAATTGAGACGTTAAACTATCATTTCTAATATTTTCTCAAGATAGAAAAGTTATTAATGCGGTGTGTGCATCGAAAAAAGCTTTTTAGCAACATGCAGTTACAATACAAAAAGTGATGATTTAGTACGACAAAATTTCACTATAAATAGAGAAATGAACATGAAAAACTTTATTTTTCTATATTCATGCATGTG